AAGCCTCTGCTTGTGGTGCCTGCATCCCATTTGGACACCGATTCATGTCCTGGCTGCTCCTCTTCTGATCCAGCTCTTTGTTATGGCCTGAGAAGACAGCAAAAGATGGCCCAAGTCCTTGGGCCCATGCACTCTCGTGAGAGACCCAACAGAATCTCCTGACTCCTGGCTTCGGATCACCTCAGCTTTGGTCGTTGCAGTCATTTGGGGAGTGAACCAACAGATGGAAGACCTTTCTCTCTGTGTCTCCCTCTCTGTGTCTATCTCTACCTCTCAAATAAATAAAATCTAAAAAAAGAAGTCCTATTTAAAAAAAAAATAAGTCATCCCGTTTAGGCGCTGGCAGTGTGACATAGAAGGTAAAGTTGCCCCTTACAACAACGCCATCCTATGTGGGTGCTTGTTTGTGTCCAGGTTGCTCCACTTCCGATGCTGCTCTCTGCTAACAGTCTTGGAAAAGCAGTGGAAGATACCCAACTGTCTGAGTACCTGCTACCCATGTGGGAGACCCAGATGAAGCTCTTGTCTCCTGGCATCTGCCTGGTGCAGCCTGAGTCATTGCAGCCACCTGAGGAGTTAATCAACAGATGGAAGCTCTAACTCTGACTTTCAAATAAATTAATTAAAAGGAAAAAAGTCATCTGGTTTGGGGCCGACACAGCACAAGTGGTTAAACCATGGTATGTGACATCAGCATCCCATGTCAGAGTGCCAGTTCTAAACGTGCTTTCAACGGAGCCCCAACTGTTTTGGCCATCTGTCGAGTGAACCAGTGGATGAAGATTTCTGTCACTTTGCCTTTCAAATACATAACTTTTTGTTTGTTTGTTTTTATTTTTTGACAGGCAGAGTGGACAGTGAGAGAGAGAGAGAGAGAGAGAGAGAGAGAAAGGTCTTCCTTTGCTGTTGCTTCACCCTCCAATGGCCGCCGCAGCCGGCGCACCGCGCTGATCCGAAGCCAGCAGCCAGGTGCTTCTCCTGGTCTCCCATGGGGTGCAGGGCCCAAGCACTTGGGCTAACTTCCACTGCACTCCTGGGCCACAGCAGAGAGCTGGCCCGGAAGAGGGGCAACCGGGACAGAATCCGGTGCCCCGACCGACCGGGACTAGAATCCGGTGTGCAGGTGCCGCAGGCGGAGGCGGTGCCGCAGGCAGAGGATTAGCCTATTGAGCCGTGGCGCCGGCTCACAATGCTATTCCTTTAAGAGACAGTGTGGGGCCCTGGCGCCTTGGTGCAGTGGGTTAATGTCCTGGCCTGGAGCCCCAACATCCCACATGGGCACTCGTTCAAGACCCAGCTGCTCCACTTCCGATCCAGCTCTCTGCTATGGCCAGAAAAGCAGTAGATGGCCAAAGTCCTTGGGCCCCTGCACCCATGTAGGAAACCTGGAAGAAGCTCTTGGTTCCTGGCTTCAGATTGGCACAGCTGCAGCCGTTGCGGCCAACTGGAAAGTGAACCATCAGATGAAGACCTCTCTCTTTCTCTCTTTGCCTCTCCTCTGTGTAACTCTGACTCTCAAATAAATAAATAAAGCTTAAAAAAAAAAGAGAGAGAGAGAGAGAGAGTAGGTTGCTTCCATGTTCTGGCTACGGTGAACAATGTTGCTACCAATATGAGTATACAACTATATCTTTCAAGATTTGCTATCTATTCCTTTGGGAATATACTCACACGTGGGATTGTTGGATCATTTGATAGCTCTATTTTTAACTTTCTGAGGAATTGACATCTTGTTTTTCACAGGAGCTGTGCTGTATTTTAAATTCCTGTAACAGTGTACAAGGTTTCTAATTTTTCCACCTTCATACCACCACTTGTTATTTTCTAACTTCTTATTTTTTAAAAAAATCTATTATTTGAAAGGCAAAGGCACAGAAAGAGAGAGAGAGAGAAAGAGAGAGAGAGAGAGAGAGAGAGATGCTGTGGCTTAGAGTGTAAAGCTGTCGCCTGCAGTGCCGGCATCCCATATGGGCGCAAGTTCTAGTCCTGGCTGCTCCACTTCTGATCGAGCTCTCTGCTATGGCCTGGGAAAGCAGTAAAAGATAGCCCAAGCGCTTGGGCCCCTATATCCATGTGGCAAACCTGGAAGAATCTCTTGGCTCCTGGCTTCGGATGGGTGCTGCTCCAGCCGTTGCAGCCAATTGGGGAGTGAGCCAGTAGATGGAAGAACTCTCTCTCTCTGCCTCTCCTTCTCTCTGTGTAACTGTGATTTTCAAATAAATAAATAAATCTTTATTAAAAAAAAAAAAAAGAGAGAGAGAGAGGGGCTGGTGTTGTGGTGCAGTGGGTTAACGCCCTGGCCTAAAGCGCCAGCATCCCATACGGGCGTCGGTTCTAGTCCCAGCTGCTCCACTTCCAATCCAGCTCTCTGCTATGGCCATAAAAAGCAATGGAAGATGGCCCAAGTCCTTGGAGCCCTGCGCCCACGTGGGAGACCCAGAGGAAGCTCCTGGCTCCTGGCTTTGGATCGGCGCAGCTCTGGCCATTGCGGCCAATTGGAGAGTGAATAATCAGATAGAAGATCTCTCTCTCTCTCTCTCTCTCTGCCTCTCCTCTCTCTCTGTGTAACTCTGCCTTTCAAATAAAAATAAAGCGTTTAAAAAAAAAAAAAAAGAGTGAGTGACAGAGAGAGGTATTTCTCATCTGCTGGTTCACTCCCGAAATGGCCTCAACAACTAGAGCTGGGCTGATACGAAGCCAGGAGCTAGGAGCTTCTTCCAGGCTTCCCACACCGGTACAGGGACCTAAGGACGTGGGCCAGCTTCTACTTCTTTCCCAGGCCATAGCAGAGAGCTGGATCAGAAGAGAAGCAGGCGGGACTCGAACTGGCACCCATATGGGATGCCAGCACTGCAGGCAGTGGCTTTATCGGGTAGGCCACAGTGGCAGCCCCTAGATTCAGTGTTTATCCTAAGGAGTGAGTAGTATTTTCTTATGGTTTTGATTTGCTTCCCTAAGGATTTGCGGTGCTGAGTGTGTTTCCACATGCTTAGTGGCCACTTACAGATCTTCTCTGGAGAAACGTCTATTCAAGTCTTCTGCCCCTAGTTGAGCCTTATAAAAGAGCAGGAGAGACAGGGAAACACTCACACACACACAGAGAAAAATCTTCTATCTGCTAATTCACACCCTAAATGGCCACAACAGCTGGGCTGGGCCAGGCCAAAGCCAAGAAGCGGGAATCCCATCTGTGTCTCCCACTTGAGTGGCAGGGACCCAGGTACTTGAGCCATGACTTGCTGTACCCCCAGACACATTAGCAGGAAGCAGGATGGGAAGTGGAGTAGCCAGGACTGGAACCAGCACTTCGCAGTTTAAGCTGCCACACCACAATCTGAATGCTTTTCTCATCCTCTGCTAGCCCTTAACTTCTTTGGTGCACAGATCACATCCTGCTTAAGTTTCCCAACATCATCTTAAACACCATCTGTATAAAGCTGAATCCACCAATTTCTCTAACTCTTGTGTCCTTTAATTATGCCTGTGGTGTATAATCCTTCTGATCACCATGACACAGATCTTAAAGTCATCTCTCCACATTTGTGTGTCTCACCTGCCAGACCTCAATCATCCTCTCATGCCTCTTCTTTATGGCTGAGCATAGCCGAATTTCTCACCTCTCTTAGGATCCAATTAATATCTTAGCTTCTATTTTTCCAGCCAATTCTATCCTTACATTTCCAGGGTAACCTTCCTAAAATATAGTATGTTGCTCTCCTGCTAAGAATTGTAAAAATGTCTTGCCAAAAATAATTTAAAAGATTCAAAATCCCTTAGCATAGCATTCTCAATGCTACTTTTTCTGCTTCATCTCCTGAGAGCCTGCACACATAGCCAACCCTCTGGTCATCGGTAACTCCCAACTCATCTTAGGACCGGCCCCTGTTCCAGCCGGATGTCTTTGTCCATATGGTTCTTTGGCATTCAGAAGTAGCTACTCCTTTCCTTGACCCCTGTAACACTTTACGCCTCCTCTCCAGCATTTACCGCTTTCCAATTGCTCTATACAACGCTGTCATCTCTCTGGGGTCTAAGCTCCCTGAGGGCTGGCAGGGTCGGCTCAGCAAGCCTGGTGCAATCCTCTTGGAGTGGGGACCCCTACACTCCCCACACCGCACAGCACCGTGCCCTGTTCCGAGGAAGCAAGAAATATGTGAAAGAATAAGTCCTAAGTCATGCTGTACTCCCACCTCTAGAAGTTTGTCCAAGGGAGAAAAGGACAGTAACCCACGCTTGGTCGGTGAACTTGCTTGGACAAACGTGCCGGCATACGGCACTCATTCCTCACCCATTCTTTCAGGCCACTTGCTAAACGCACGTTGTAGGTCTTCCCAGTGGCCAAGTCCCGAGCTGGGCTCGGAGCTAAGCCACGGAGTCCTCGCCACTGAACCCACACTTGGGCCTCATCGAGAGCCCTTGAGCGCCTAAGCGGGACCGTCGCTCCTCACTCCCAGGAGGCGATGTGGCCGGGGGCGGGCCCTCCGGACCCGCCCAGCAGCCTCCCGGCCACCAGAAAGTGCCACCTCGGGCTTCCCCTCGCGCTCTCCACTTCACAGCGCGCCACCACGTTGCCTTCATCCGCCCAACAAGCTTGTGAGGCAAAAACGCTCACCTCCCTCACAATACAGAAGATCAGAGGGGAGATGAGAGGCGAAGAGACGTGGCCGTCGGCCGCGGCGGGGAAGGGGCCCCTGCTGGACACCGTCCACACCTCACAGCCCCGACCCGGCCCGCTGACTCGCACTGGAAGGCGCCAGCAGGCGCGCACAGGACGCGAAGGCCCTCCCCGCGCTCGCACTGTCGGAAGCTAAGTTGCCGCCAGAGTGGCGGCTGCGCGAAGCCCGCCCCCGACCCGCACGCTCCGCGACCCCGGAGCGTTCGCCGGGGGGGCCGGGCCGGCCCCCCGGGGCTCTTGGGGGGAAGGTCCCCCTCCGGGCCGCGGCCACGCCCCTATGGACCGGGGGAAACGGGTTTAAGACGGGAACTTGGTTTCCCCCCGGCCCGGGAACCCCGGGCAGCCACTGCAAGCCCCCAGGCGGGGGCGGCCCGCCGAGCTGCGGGGTCGGGCACGGGTCCAGGCACTGGAGGCGGGGGGAGCGCCGGGGCGGCCGGCGGGACTTCCGTCCCGGACCCGGAAGGGGCTGCGGCGCCGCTGGTGGGAGTTGTAGTCCGGCCGTGGTTGGGGGGGCCCGCGGCTCATGCGCGGTGCACCGAGGCTTGTTTCACATCTGTAACAACAGGTGAATTGGGCTTTTTATTCTCCCCTTTCGTGCCCCACTGGGGCGCCTGCCGCGGCCGGGGGTGGTCGGCGCGAGGAGGGGGCCTGGGTCCGGCGGCCGGCCTGGGGGAGAGTGGGTTGGAGAAGCCGGCGGGCCCGTGGAGCAGGCCGGGCATCCTAGGCCTGCCCGGGAAGCCGGCCGGGCCGAGCCTTGGGCAGCCAGGCCTCGGCCTGCCGTTGCCATGGAGCTGGGGCGGGGGCGGGGGCCAGACCGGTCCGCCGGGGCGGGCCTCGCTGCCAGGGGCTCCGCGGAGGCCGCGGGAGAGGCAGCTTCATTGGCGCAGCGACGCCTTCGCCTCAGGGGATGCTCTTTTCCCAAGGCAAGGCCTGGAGGAAGTCTGCAGAGTGCCCCGAGACCTTTGTCTCCTCCTCCGCCCCCACCCCGTGCCGCCTGGACCGTTCGTCCAGAGGGAGGCCTGGTGCATTCTGGCCCCCCTGGTCTACCCCCTTTTGCACCGACCTTGTCACCGGGGAGGCCAAGGGGTGAGGTGTTCTTTGTTTGCTGATGGTGACTTGCCCCATTTCGCAGGGGAAGACCTAATGCATGTTGGGTCCTTTGTTTGCAGTGAACTGGAGTCCTGGGGGTCCTTAGGGCCCCCAGGCCCAGGGCTCGGCGTCAGCGTGCTATTTAGCTAGTCCTCACTTGGCAGCACGGGTCAACTTGGTTGAGGTTCAGCAAGGCAGAGACTGCCCCACTTTACAACCCCAGTCCTCGGGGGCATGCCGAACACTGTATCACGTAGCCTGCAGAAGGCCAGCTGCGGGCTTAACCTGTTTCTGGTTGCAGTTTACCCGCGGGCGGGCAGCAAGACATTGTCTGATGGATTCCCTTGCGGTTTCGTGAAAGACGGTGATCCTGCCGACATTGTGGTCTTGGTTACATCTTGTAATTTGCACTTAAATCTTGGGGTCTTGAAGCTTCCAGAAGGAAGAACTCTAACTGATATAGATAGCTTTTGGGATCAGTGGTAGTACTCTTTAGTTACGTATCTGTTTAATATGCAGAAACTGTATTCTTCGCTGCATTTTAAAAAAAATATATGTAGATTATCCCTTTGCCCCTAGAAGATAGCTATTCTCCACGTGTTTTAATTTGTGTAACTGTGGTCCAGAGTTTTATGAGCAGCTGGACCCTTCTTGCTCCTTTCAGCCTTTGAAGATGCCAGTGTAAAATGTTATCTCAAGAAATGAACTGTGGAACATTTACGCAACAGCGTGATGTCCTGGATGTAAGAAAAGTAGCAGTGTAGTGTAAGCGTGGAAAGCTTTGAAGTCAGAATACTTAAATGCAGATTTGCATTCTCCCTGGAGGCAGCTGTGGGATCTTGGGCAAGTTGTGAAACCTTCCCTGCTTCAAATTTCTTTCTCTGGGAAAGAGCATTCCTTCCTCACTGGATATTTGCATGGATGAGATGGAATAAAGTCTATGGCAGTAAGAGGAATCTTCAAAGAGTTCATGGAGAATGCTTGTAATGAAAAAACTGTGAGTGGATTTCAAAACTCCTTGCACCAGAATGAACTCATCTTTTAATTCCATTTTCCATGAACTTTTTAAAGTGCTTGTGTACTTTGTAAACTGTAAAAATGGTATTCAACCTTGAGTTATTATTATTTTTCCCAACCTGTGCGAGCATCATCACTTTTTTTTTTCTATCTTAGATAAGTTTGTATTATAGTCATTATGGGATTAGAACTCAAAACTAAAGCAAGTTTTTACTCTGGGCTTGGAAAAAAATGTTTTTCATGCCTACAAGCCCTTCTTTACCTTGCTATCTCCTTCTTGGTATCTTGCAGGTGCTGGTGTAGGACAGCTCACAATTTGATGGGTCTAGATGGGTCATGACAGGTCCTGAAGTCAGGTCATTGTGTCTAGTGTTTGTGTTTCATGCCACTAACAAAACCTGTCCTGTTGTTAGAGTTGGTAACTGAATTTCAGTGATTGGAATAATTTCCCCTGAGGGGACCAAAACTCCAGTGACCCAGCATTGTACTTCCCAGGAGGAGGCCGAGCCTCGTGATGAGGAATAGCAAGGAGAGAATTCAGCTCCAGTTCAAAAGCCTGCAAAATCTGAGACTGTCACTGCTTTTGTAAGGTAAGTTGCTTTAGCCTTGTGTGCACAGCAGTGGTGGATCTCATGCCCAGCCACTCTGTAATGCAACAGGAATGAATTCAATCCATTTCTGACTGTCTTGGAAGAAGACTGTTTTAAATGAGTCATTATGGAGTCTCTGTATTGGTATCATCCCATAGGGAGTTCACCTGGAGTTAAGTTGTGTTTCCTTATGGAGAAATCTGGACATAATAGAATTTTATTTTTCTCTAAATTAGAGTCACTAAACCATACCAAGTTTTTAAATGTTACTACATTAACAAGGAAGGTAGCATTCTTTTGGATCTCTACAAAATGGTCTGGAGCTTTGTAAAATTTCTGTAAAAGATCCTATCTTGAATCTCATCCTGTATTTTTAAAAACTAGTATGGGCCGGCGCCGCGGCTCACTAGGCTAATTCTCCGCCTAGCGGCGCCGGCACACCGGGTTCTAGTCCCGGTCGGGGCGCCGGATTCTGTCCCAGTTGCCCCTCTTCCAGGCCAGCTCTCTGCTGTGGCCAGGGAGTGCAGTGGAGGATGGCCCAGGTGCTTGGGCCCTGCACCCCATGGGAGACCAGGAAAAGCACCTGGCTCCTGGCTCCTGCCATCGGATCAGGGCAGTGCGCCGGCCGCAGCTCGCCGGCCGCGGCGGCCATTGGAGGGTGAACCAATGGCAAAAGGAAGACCTTTCTCTCTGTCTCTCTCTCTCACTGTCCACTCTGCCTGTCAAAAAAAAAAAAACAAAAACTAGTATGGGACAAGATGGTGGTATCAGCCTTGGCATGGAGAGGATTGGAGACTTTTAAAAAGCAAAACTGGAAATCTATTTATAAGCAACTTAATTTATAATTTCCTAGCTGGAAACTATTATTTCTTAAATAGTAATCACCTAAAAATATTTTATATTTTAAAATATTGAGGTTTCCTTTAAAACTAGAATCCCAAACTATACCCTTTTCAGTTTACTTTGCATAGGAGTCTACAAGATGTACCTTCTTAAAGTAAACTTTATAATTTTTGATATTGTATTGAAGTTTTCTCTCTGAGCTTCCAAATTCTGTCGGCTGAAATTCCCAGCATCTCTGGGACGAGGAGGCCAATAGTGCAGACCTGCTGTGGATCTGAAAGATTCAGCCGCAGGTCAACCCTCCACTCCCCACCTCCTCACAATTTGAGAATGAGAAGGAAGAAATGAGAGGAGTAGGAGAGTAAGCCTCAGTAGACTCCTAGTTATGTTGAATGTTATGCTGATATATCACAACATTGCATAGGTATTTATAGATTAAGGCCATTTAAGATTACTGTATTAATAAAAACATCTGTAAGCCTGAGTTTGAGTATTTTTTGAAACTAAATTATTAAACCAGAGACACTATTTTTTTGGTTATCTGAAGGTATAATCCTTAGTTAAATGTACTATAATAAACACAAAGCATCAAATCTTTGCTTTTTTCACAGTCTCTGCTATGGGAAGTTTTCCTTTTTTTTTTTTTGATATTTATTTATTTTTTGAAAGAAAGAGTTACAGAGAGGAGAGAGAGAGCGATGTATCTTCCATCCACTGGTTCACTCCCCAAATGGCACAACGATTGGGATTGGGCCTTGCCAAAGCCAGGAGCCTGGAACTCTATCCAGGTCCCTCATGTGGATACAGGAACCCAAGGACTTGGATATCTTCTTCTTCTTTTATTTTTTTTAAAGATTTATTTATTAATTTGAAAGTCAGAGTTACACAGAGAGAGGAGAGGCAGAAAGAGAGAGAGAGAGAGAGGTGTCTTCTATCCGCTGGTTCACTCCCCAGTTGGCTGCAACAGCCAGAGCTGCTCCAAACCAAAGCCCGGAGCCAGGAACTTCTTCCGGGTCTCCCACGCGGGTGCAGGGGCCCAAGGACTTGGGCCATCTTCCACTGGTTTCCCAGGCAGAGAGCTGGATCGGAAGTGGAGCAGACGGGACTCAAACTGGTGTTCATATGGGACATATGGGATGCCAGCACTGCAGATGGCAGCTTTACCTGCTACGCCACTGCACTGGTCCCTGGAAAGTTTTTTTTTTTTTTTCTTTTCTGAACCACTGTACGGTGTTCTGCATCTGATACTCTGCATCAGATCTCATTCCCAGGGGCTTGGCAAGGATTTGTGAAAGCCCAGTAATCCTGGTTGTCCATCAGCAATTCTCATTACCACGCGGGAGATGGGATTTGTGTGGAATTTAGTTTCTTCCTTTCCCTAGAAGCACCAAGGAAACCTCCACGTACTGTGATGAGCTGGAACTCTATGTCTCTCAAGATGAAATGCATCCCCTTCTGTTTAACAGAACTCAGTAAATTTTAGGACAGAGAAAACGCACTTCTCAGTTAGAAAGAAACAAAAACACATACTTATTCTAGAGCTGAGCTGGCCTTCCCATCCTTAAGACTGGGAGCAGCACTGGGCTCCTTAGTGAAGAGCTTCATTTTTTTCATCTTCTAGAGAGTGTGGGTTCTTGGAGCAGGAATATTAACCATTGCCTCTCGGCCCTCCTTCTTAGGATTCCAGCTTTCCTACCTGGCCAGAAATGTTCAGCCTGGACTCCTTCAGAAAAGGTAACTGTGCTAAAATCTCATGCTCCTCCTCCCTGTGATGGGCAGCAGGAAACACTGAAAAGCCCTCACCAGTGTACAGTCCTTGGCCCTTTTTTGGGTGATTTTTCAAAGCCTTTTTCTTGTTTTCCTCTTGCATGGTGCTTGTAACCCCTTCCATGGCCTTTGTGTGTAGATCTTCCATCTGTCTCCCAAGAACGCCCTTTGTTGAAATCCTGCCTTTCTAAGCTAAGCTAGTGTTTTATACCATCACCTCCATGAACCTTTTTTGATTCTGTTGATTAAATGCATTCTTTCTCTGATTTTTCTCAGCACCATGTCCATCTTCTCTTATATTTAGTCATTGCATCAGTAGATTGGAAGCTCCCTGATGCAAAGGCTGTTGTGCTCTTTTTTTTTTTTTTTCTTTTTCTTCATTTTATTTATTTGAAAGGCAGGGTTACAGAGAGAGAGAAGTCTTCCATCTGTCTGCTCATTCACTCCCCAGATGGCTACACTGCCCAGAGCTGGGCTGATAGAAAGCCAGGAGGCAGGAGCTTCTTACGGGCGTTCCACATGGGTGCAGGGGGTACAAGCATGTGGGTTATCCTCCACTGCTTTTCCCCCAGGTGCATTAGCAGGGATCTTGACTGGAAGTGGAGCAGCCCAAATGCGATGCCAGCGCTACAGGGGCGGGTTATCCTTCTCTGCACACAGCACCAGCCCCCTCTTGTGCTCTTTTATCCTCCACAGCATTTTGAATGTTTTGCTATCACTCCCCCCAAGCTGATGGTAACCCTCAGTAAACACTGGCGGAAGTGGGTTGAGTCATTGTCACTTTAGTGGTCATAGAAAGTCTGGTAAGTCTTGAAATTGGTGCTCTCTAGCAGAGGGGCTTGGGTAGTAATGGCACAATTGTTTTGTAGCTGGTCTATAGGGCAGAAAAGCTCAGGGTCTGCTTACAGGACATACCATGGTTGTATGGACTGTAGGGGCCTGAGGGCTTTGTATCTGTTAGGACCATGACTTTTCTTCTTCAAGGGAATGAAGAGTAAAAGGGCTGTAGCCTGTAAGGAAGCAGATGCTTAGCCTCCTGTCTGAGCATGATTTACAAATGAGAACCATAACAGAACTTCTGTAACTGCTGATTAAGTGGTTCTTCTCAATTGTGTCTCTTTTCAAAATTATATTCCTGGAGGCCTAGAACCCTGGGGGTATCCTGTGTAACCCACTGAGTTGGACCAGAGGAGGGCTGGTTATATCAGGGCACTCAGCAGTTTCTGCCTGCCTCGTTGTTTGTTTTTAGTCACTCCAGTTGTTTTCATGCTGCTTGAAAAAATCAATTTCTATCATCTTAGTTTATTTTGCTTTTTGTTTTAATTTTGACAGGTAGGTAGAGTTATAGACAGAGAGAGACAGAGAGAAAGGTCTTCCTTCCATTGGTTCACTCCCCAAATGGCCATCCTCATCTTAGTTTATTTTGGCTAACTGTACCTAAGAAGGGAGAAATCAGGGCCGGCGCCGTGGCTCACTTGGTTAATCCTCCGCCTGCAGTGCCAGCATCCCATATGGGCTCTGGATTCTGCCCTGGTTGCTCCTCTTCCAGTCCAGCTCTCTGCTTTGGCCCAGGAAGGCAGTGGAGGATGGCCCAAGTGCTTGGGCCCCTGCACCTGCATGGGAGACCAGGAGGAAGCACCTGGCTCCTGGCTTCTGATCGGTGCAGCGCTGGCCGTAGTGGCCATTTGGGGAGTGAACCAATGGAAGGAAGACCTTTCTTTTTTTTTTTTTTTTTTTTTTTTTTTTTTTTTGACAAGCAAAGTGGACCGTGAAAAAAAAAAAAGAAAAAAAAGCCCTCCTTTGCCGTTGGTTCACCCTCCAATGGCCGCCGCGGCCGGCGAGCTGCGGCCGGCGCACTGCCCTGATCCGATGGCAGGAGCCAGGAGCCAGGTGCTTTTCCTGGTCTCCCATGGGGTGCAGGGCCCAAGCACCTGGGCCATCCTCCACTGCACTCCCTGGCCACAGCAGAGAGCTGGCCTGGAAGAGGGGCAACCGGGACAGAATCCGGCACCCCGACCGGGACTAGAACCCGGTGTGCCGGCGCCGCAAGGTGGAGGATTAGCCTAGTGAGCCGCGGTGCCGGCAACCTTTCTTTTTTTTTTTCTCTATCTCTCACTGTCTATAACTCTACCTGTCAAATTAAAAAAAAAAAAAAAAAAAAAGGGAAAAATCAAATTTGAGATAAATGTCGATAGCACTTTGAGATGAAAATTTTAACATTTGAGATGAAAATTATCGCTTAAGTGCCTTCTGTCAACTTACTAACCAGTGGACTTTGATGTATATTCACTTGTTTTTTTTTTTAATTTTTTTTTTTTTTTGGACAGAGTGGACAGTGAGAGAGACAGAGAGAAAGGTCTTCCTTTGCTATTGGTTCACCCTCCAATGACCGCCGCGGCCGGCGTGCTGATCTGATGGCAGGAGCCAGGTACTTATCCTGGTCTCCCATGGGGTACAGGGCCCAAGCACTTGGGCCATCCTCCACTGCGCTTCCCTGGCCACAGCAGAGAGCTAGCCTGGAAGAGGGGCAACCGGGACAGAATCCGGCACCCCAACCAGGACTAGAACCCAGTGTGCCGGCGCCGCAAGGCGGAGGATTAGCCTAGTGAGCTGTGGCGCCAGCAGATGTATATTCACTTGTAAAAGATGGATGAAAATAGGTTCCATCATAAGGATGGAAGTATCTCTGAATAAGCAATACTATTACTTTTTTTTAGATTTACTTATTATTTGCAAGGTAGAATGACAAAGAGAAAGAGATATCTTCCATCTGATGGTTCATTCCCCAAATGCCCACAAAAGCTGAGGCTGGACCAGACTGAAGCCAGGAGCCTGGAAGTCCATCCAGGTCTCCTACAGGGGTAGCAGAGGCCCAGATACTTGGGCCATCCTCCACTGCTTTCCCAGGCTCATTAACAGCGAGCTGAATCAAAATGGAGTAGTGGGGACTCAGACTGGCACTCTGATATGGGATGTGCTTGTCCTAAGCAGTGGCGTAACTTGCTGTGCCACAGTGCCCATCCCAGTAGTACCAATTTTGTAAAGAGATGCCGAACACAATACGGTCATGATCCTCCCTTTTCCAGCTCTCTGGAAATTTTGGCATCACATATGTGATTTTGGCATTACATATTACCAAAACCATTTTGTGCTTGAAGAGCTCAGGGAGGACCATTAATCAGAGTCCTTGCCTTGAGTATTGTTTTTATTGAACATTTTCATCTACTTGAAAGGGAGAATGAAAGAGAGAGAAAGAGAGAGATCTTCCATCAACTGTTTCACTTCCCAGACTGTTAGGGCTGGGCCAGGCCAAACTCAAGAGCTTGGAACTCCATCTAAGTCTCCCATGTGACTTGGCAGCAGCTGAAGCACTTGGGCCATCATCTACTGCCTCCTAGGATGCGTTACCAAGAAGCTGGATCAGCAGCAGCGTAGCTGAGATTCGAACGAGGCACTCTGATGTGGGGTGTGGGCATCCCCACAGGCAGCTGAACCCTCTGTACCACAGTGCCTCCTCACTTGCCTTTTCCTGGTATTTTGACTATGAGACTCAATGCCCAGCCCTGTCTTCTGAATGCTGTAGCAATTGTGGCTTGCATCATGACCTTCACAGTTGGCTAGGTGTAGCTGACGCTTCTTTTTGTTGTTGTTGTTGTGTAAGATTTTAAAGTCAGTTACAGAGAGAGTGAGGGAAAGAGAGCTCTTCCATCTGTTGGTTCACTCCCCAAATAGCTGCAATGTCCAAGGCGGGGCCAGGCTGAAGCCAGGAGCCAGGAGCTTCATCCAGTTCTCCCACATGAGTACATGGGCCCACACACTTGGGCCATCTGCTTCTGCTTTCCCAGTACAGTAGCAGGAAGCCAGATGGAAAACGGAGCAGTCGGGACATGATTCAGTGCCCATATGGGATGGCAGCATCAAAGACGGCAGCTGAACCATAACCCTTTCTGACTTTTATTGTTGTATAGGACTATTCCTTATCTCTCACAGAGTCTTCTTCTTCTTCTTCTTCTTCTTCTTTTTTTAAAGATTTTGTTTATTTGACAGGTAGAGTTATAGACAGTGAGAGAAAGAGAGATAGAGAAAAAGGTCTTCTCTCCTTTGGTTCGCTCCCCAAATGGCCGCAATGGCTGGAAGTATGCCAATCCAAAGCCAGGAGCTTCCTCCAGGTCTCCCACGCGGGTGCAGGGGCCCAAGCACCTGGGCCATCCTCCACTGCCCTCCCAGGCCACAGCAGAGAGCCGGACCGGAAGAGGGAGCAACTGGGACTAAAACCAGCGCCCATATGGGATGCTGGTGCCGCAGGTGGAGGATTAACCTAGTGCGCCATGGTGCCGGCCCCCCAGAGTTTTCTTTCTTTGTGTTCTTTGACCCTCCTAATGATTGCCCAAAGGTGTTGTGACTCTTAGGAGGAAATGTAGTGTGATGTAAAGCTTGGGGCACCCAAGTCAGACTGGCTGGGATTTGAATTTGTTCCGACACTAGCAAGGTGTTAACCTACCCAATCTTCTGTCATCACCCCTATCTTCAGCAGTGTAGTGGCGCTATTAGTGATGATGTAGGATAAACAGCTAGTTGTGGTCTGTGCCCAGCCCTTAGTCTGGTTGTGGCATGGGCTTGATAAATATGAATAGGTTGATCCTTATGGAGTGCAACCCTGCAGCTAGTGTTTGGCTGGAGAGCCGCAGCCCAGCCTCTGCTTACTCTGTGTTGTGAGATTGCGTGATTGAGCATGTCTGTGAGTGAGACACTAGGGTGAAGGACGCTATTTCAGAGATGGTTCCCAGTACCCAGGAGCTTATAGTCTCAATTGGATGGGCTATTTGATGATTCTGGTGATAATAGCAATAGGAATTCCTTGAGGCATTGTGAACAATGGCCCAGTGGATCTTGTGCCTGTCGACCATCTTTCCTATTATGCAGTTCAGCAGAGCTGCTGGTGTGTCCTATCTAGAATGCATATATGCCTGCTGAGTTACGTGTTACTGCCATTATCTTAACACAGGTGTGTGATCTTAGCTGTAATAGTATTAGAATTAGGCCACAGAGAGAGAGCTAAGTCTTTTTCCGTCAGCCTCAAACTTTGCAAAGCACTGGATCAGTAGCAAGAATTTGCATTTTTCTTTCAGCTACGTGGTTAAAAGAGGTTTCAGTGATGCTGTTGTGGGATTGTAACAACTTATCCCTATTGCTGAAAATGCTTAATGAGATAATCATCATCAAATCAAATCATTCTTTTATTTATTTTTTCTTTCTCAGTCTAGCATCACTGGGTATGAGTAAGGACTTTTCTCAATAAGGAGTGGAGAGATTGAGTGGTTCTTTCCAACTTTATCTTGAAGAAAGAACTGGATTTAGTTCCAGAATAAACCTTGCTCTTCAGTACTTGGTATTACTGCTGTAGCACTGTGTCTGGGTTCTGTAAGGTCACTCGTTCATATCATGAGGGGGACCGTGGGAGAACAGAATTGGAGCCACGGAGCCACTGCACTTTTATGCTAAGAGTATGACAGGGGGCGGCGTCACAGCTCAATAGGCTAATCCTCTGCCTTGTGGCGCCGGCACACCGGGTACTAGTCCTGGTCGGGGCGCCGGATTCTGTCCCGGTTGCCCCTCTTCCAGTCCAGCTCTCTGCTGTGGCCCAGGAGTGCAGTGGAGGATGGCCCAAGTACTTGGGCCCTGCACCTGCTTGGGAGACCAGGAGAAGCACCTGGCTCCTGGCTTCGGATCAGCGCGGTGTGCCAGCCGCAACAGCCATTGGAGAGTGAACCAACGGCAAAAAAGAAGATTTTTCTCTCTCTCTCTCACTGTCCACTCTGCCTGTCCAAAAAAAAAAAAAAAAAAAACAGGGCCGGCGCCGTGGCTCAATAGGCTAATCCTCCACCTTGCGGCGCCGGCACACCGGTTTCTAGTCCCTGTCGGGGCGCCGGATTCTGTCCCGGTTGCCCCTCTTCCAGGCCAGCTCTCTGCTATGGCCAGGGAGTGCAGTGGAGGATGGCCCAGGTGCTTGGGCCCTGCACCCCATGGGAGACCAGGAGAAGTACCTGGCTCCTGCCATCGGATCAGCGCGGTGCGCCAGCTGCAGCGGCGGCCATTGGAGGGTGAACCAACGGCAAAGGAAGACCTTTCTCTCTCTGTCTCCCTCTCTCACTGTCCACTCTGCCTGTCAAAAATTAAAAAAAAAAAAAAAAAAACCAAAAAAAACCAAAAACAAACAAACAAACAGTGGTGCTGAGAGCAAGAAGTGTGTGCAGCTGGTAGCGTGGGAGAAGAACATCTGAGCGCAAGTACTTGCTCCCCCTCCAAGATTTATTATGAAAATGTTCAAACATGCTGAAATGTTGCAGAAGTTGTAAAGTGAACACCCATGTACCTACCACCTTGGTTCTCTGTAGGTACTCAATTTTAATTAAAAATAAAATAGGGGCCTGTGGTCAGGTTGGTGGTTAAGATGCATGTATCATTCAGAATGCTTGGGTTTAATCCCTGGCTCTAGCTCCTGACTGCAGCTTCCTGCTAATTTGGACCCTAGGAGGCAATAGGGATGGCGCAAGCAGATGGGTCCCTATACCACCTATGTGAGAGACCTAGTTGAGTTTGGGCACCTGACTTCTCCCTGGCCTTGGTGTTTACAGGCATTTGGGGAGTGAGCCAGGATATTGGGGTACACACTCTCTCTCTCCCTCTCTCTCTCTCTCTCTCTCTCTGAGTCTTGCCCTCTTAAATAAATACAAATTAAATAATAAAACAACAACAAAGAATGTAGCTAATGGGCTTGTTATTTTTCTGCTGAAGATTATAATTCTACTCCTTTGTTAGCTCCCTTACCTTAGAACCATCATATGTGAACCAGGAGTCCTTATGTTTTTACTGAAACCATCCCTATAATTCCCACTTGTGTGTGAGCCAATTTGCAGTATAGAAGTGGGCATCTGTGTAGGTGAACAGGAGGTTTCTCAAGGGTTGAGTATGTTGGCTGTCTCTTCCTGCTTCTCTTCTTCCCTGTTCATTGTGCTGAAGCCAGTAGGGCAAAGAGCTCAGGAACCTTTCCCCAGGCTGGTGATCCCTATAAGACCTTAGGCCCACTCTCCTGCATTTCTGCCTTCTCCTGGACTCAGTGAGTATCTTAGTTTTAGTTCATGTATCTCACATTTTTGAAACATCAAAATTTGCTTTGGGGGCTGGTGCTGTGGCGTATTGGGTAAAGCCACCGCCTGCAGTGCCGGCATCCCATATGGGCACTGGTTCAAGTCCTGGTTACTGCACTTCTAATCCAGCTCTCTGCTATGGCCTGGGAAAGCAGTAGAAGATGGCCCAATCCTTAGGCCCTTGCACCCACATGGGAGACCTGGAGGAAGCTCCTGACTCCTGGATTCGGATCAGCACAGCTCCAGGTTTTGCGGCCAGTTGGGGAGTGAACCAGTGGATGGAAGACACCCCCCCCCCCTTTTCTGGTTATGTAACTCTTTCAAATAAATAAATCTTTAAAAAACTTTTTGCTTTGTAGGTCACCGGTATGTAGCATGTAGTTTCGAATGAATGGAAATATTTGGCAGGTTGTTCACTTTTATAAAGAGGAAGAAGGGTAGCAAGTGTGGCTCTGTGTTAGCTCAGGTGAGACTCCAGCAGTCAATTGCTCTCTTATTCCATTTTTAGAGGGAAAGAATAACATGAGACTTGGTGACTGGCTATTCTAGGATGCTGTAGTGAATGCATAGGTAGTTACCATAAATGGAAGCCAGACCATCCTTTGGGTTTCTGTGGTACCATAACTTTCAGCTATATTTTATTATTATTTTTAAAGATTTATTTTATTTGAAAGAGTTACACAGAGAGAGAGGAGAGAGGTAGAGAGACAGAGAGAGAGAGAGAGGTCTTCCATCCAATGGTTCACTCCCCAGTTGGCCGTAACAGCCGGAGCTGCGCTGATCCGAAGCCAGGAGCCAGCAGTTTCTTCTGGGTCTCCCACGTGGGTGCAGGGGCCTAAGGACCTGGGCCATCTTCTACTGTTTTCCCAGGCCATAGCAGAGAGCTGGACTGGAAGTAGAGCAGCCAGGTCTCGAACTGGCATCCATAAGGGATGCCGGTGCTTCAGGCCAGGGCGTTAACCTGCTATGCCACAGCGCCGGCCCCATCAGCTTTTTTATTTTAATTTTTAAAGATTTATTTATTTATTTGAAAGAGTTACAGAGAAAGAAGGAGGGACAGAAATATTCTATCATCTGGTTTACTCCCCAAACGGCCACAACAACCGGGGCTGAGCCAGGCTGAAGCTGGGAGCCAGGCGCTTCTTTCAGGTCTCCCATGTGAGTGGCAAGGGCCCAGGGACTTGGATCATCTACTGCTGTTTTCCCAGGCACATTAGCAGGGAGCTGGATCAGAAGTGGAGCAGCCGGGACGTGCACAGCATCCATATGGGATACTGGCACCCAGGCTGTGGCTTAATCTGCACGACAGTGCTGTCCCCAGCTTTCAGTTCATTGCTGTTCTGTCTCATCCCCAAGACTGGGTGATGTAGAGAAAGATGCCGATGGGAATTGAACTCCCAGAGTCTAGCTAAGGGACTAGGGAGAGTTTGAGAGCTTTTGTGAGAGCCGTGAAGGCAGTCATGTATCACATCTCTGTGAGACATCTGGGTGGCCCTGTTGGTCCTTTCCTTAGGACTGGTCTCCGGCTCCCAGTACTGCCCGGCAGCCCCAAGGCCCAGGACTCCCCACACATTCTTGGGTGAGTCAGTTCGAGGATCTGTATTCGGTGAGAACGTGTCATACTGACGCCCTCTTTCTTTCCCCAGATCGGGCCCAGCACAGGCAGCGTCAGTGCAAACTCCCCCCACCCCGCCTTCCACCCATGTGTGTCAACCCTGCCCCCGGAGGGACCATCTCTCGAGGTAAGGAAGGAGCTTTGCTTCCAGCAACAGCTTTTCTGTCCAGGGTCTGTGGGAGGCGGGTGGCAGTGGGACCCCTGCTGCCAGGGCCATGGCCTCTGGTAAGTGAGGGGTGGGTGAGTAGGTAAGTAGGAACTTAGTGGTGCTCTCGGAACCCTGAGGGAGAAATTCCTTGGAGAGGTCTGGGTTATTCCATGATCCTTGATCCCTTCAGTCTCCTTGGGCCTCCCTGTATAACCTGGAACAAAGCCTAGATGCAGTCTCTGTTCAGCACCAGCTTGGAAAATATGTTGGGTTTGGATCTTCTAAGAGGCTGCTAAGAAATCCCTGGCTCCAGTGGCTTAGAGAGAGTGGAGTGCTTGCACTGAGCTGGAACAGAGAGCCCTGACTCAGGCCATGCCCCCTCCTGGGGCCTTTGGGCATACCCAAAAAATCATTTTCTTGTTCCCCCTGCCCCCAGCACCTCAAAGCACTTTACTGACATTAAATTCCACCTGTCAGATGTGGCAAGGTGGGCTGTCATTTGGCTTAGGGAGAATGGTAGAGCACCCGATAAATGACAGCTCATGCCAGGCCCCACCGGTACCAGAGATGAGGCCGGAGATAGGCCCCTAGGAAGAATCTGCAGGTGAGACAGCCCTCTCTCTGCTCAGGCTTAGATCTGTTCTAGGTCTGCCAGGGCCAGTGCTCCTGGTAGCCCTTTTGTCCTGACAGCTCCTCTTCTCTGCCCTGTGCCTGCCATTCTCAGCCCTCTGGTAAAAAGAGCACTATTTCAGGTCATAGAGCCTTTGCTGCATCCAGAGACAGTGTGTCTACTCTTGGGTCTGTCTGTAAAGTGCTTTGAAGGTGAAGAGCTCAGGAAGGGTGCGAGGAGCACAGAGCACCTCAGTTTGTACAGCCCTTGCTGCTGCCATGTGCCCAGGCCATTTACACAGGTGCCGCCCTGCTGTTGCAGTGGCCCCGACTTCCAACAGCAGTGCAGAAATAAGTACTTGTAGCCCCTCGGACCCTTTGACTTAGGCTTTAAAGAAATGCCACCCCCTACCATTGCCAAAACAAGAGTTGATTGCCCTTTTTGTTTTTTTCTTTCTTAAAACGCCCTGTAACTCGAAAAGGCTGAACGTTAACATTTCCAACATGGCAGGTGAGTGGCTCTGAGAGTGTCAGATGTGCTTTGGCTAAGCTTGAAGATGGTTAGTTGGGGTTCACCAGGCAGCCAGCTAGGCAGTGCCTCCTTGAGCATATGCCCCTGCTGGTGGGGTGGGCAGCTGCCCACTATGGGGCGGCCCCATAGGTACCATGCTCTGTCTTCCCTGGAGAGCACAGAGCCCTGCACCTCCTGAGGGTGTGCTTGGGTGTGTGCATCTTGGCCTTTTCTTTCTTTTTCTCCTATTAGAAGCACAGACCTCTTGGCCTGCATGTGACTGTGAGGCCTTTCTGCCATGCTTTCTAATTCCCAAGAGGTTTCACTGGTGCTTCTGCCCTTAAGAAGAAGGTACGTGGCAGAAACAGTCATTCTGGTATTGAAGTCAGGAAAACAGCACTCCAAAAATGGTGATGATTTATATCGATTACAGTGCCCATCAGAGTCAGATTTGGAATTGAAAAAAAATTAATCATTTTTTTTCTCAACTTAGCCTCTGCTCTCCTGCCAGCCTCTTACTGAGGCTTCCTTCCAGGATAAAGACGAATAAACCAAGAAGTTCATCTCTCACTGTCCCCTTTGAATCTCCCTCACCTACTCAGGCCTGAGACTTAGAGCACTAGAAAGCAACATGGCACAGTACTGCCTTCTGGATGGATCCTGGGGGACACAAAACTGGTCTTTTCAGCCCATTCTCAAACATACACACCAGCTCTTCTTGACATGTCAGTTTATCTCAAGGGACCTGCAGCTCTACATGCATGGAGGGGAAGGTGGTGAAGATGGGTAACCGTGTAGGGGAGGCAGCAGGGTCCCCACCCAGTTCCTGCAGCTCACTTTAATCTTCTCATTGCCAACCATGTGACATTTTGTGGCTTGTTGGTCATCCATAAAATACTTAACTATGGTTGTGTAAGTTGCCAAACATTTGGCAAAGATTTCTGGTTTCTTTAGGTGTCCTTGGTCCCTTCCAGTGTCTCCCCAGAGGTTCTGTGGTCTTCCTGAAAGCCTGAACTATTTGGTCTTCCTCCTCTCTCCTTTTCTTGGGGCCGCTAAGCTAAGTTGGTCAAACACCCATCCATATATTCAGTGGATTCTTTTGTTTTCTTTTTCTAAGATTGATTGAAATATTTGAAAGGCAGAGTGACAGAGAGATCGATCTTCTGTCTGCTGGTTCCCTCCCCAAATGGATGCAGCAGCGAGGGCTGTGCCAGGCCAAAGCCAGGGGCTAGGAGCTCCATCATGGTCTCCCACACGGGTGGCAGGGGCCCAGGCGCTTGGGCCATTTTCCACTGCCTTCCCAGGTGCACCAGCAGGAAGATAGATATTAAGCGGAGCAGCCAGAATTTGAACTGACCCTCTGATAAGGGGATATGGGTATCTCAAGCAGCATCTTTTTTTTTTTTTTTTTTTGAATTTTAATTTAAAATTTATCTGAGAAGCGCAGAGACACACCACCACCACCCCTCCCACCTGCTGGTCCACGTCCCCAAATGCCCACTCAAGCAGCATCTTAACTATCGGCTTAACCTGCTGTGTCACAATGCTGGGCTCTCAGCATATTCTTTTTTTTTTTTTTTTAATCTATCTACTTATTTATTTGTTTGGGAGACAGAGTTACAGAGATAGAAGTATCTTCCATCTGCTGGTTTTCTCCTCAAATGGCTCCTAGTGCCAGGGCTGGGCCAGGCCAAAGCCAGGAGCCAGGAGCTTCATCTAGGTCTCCTATATGGGTGCAGGGGCCTTGCAAGCACTTGAGCCATCTTCTACTGCTTTCCCAGGCACGTTAGCAGAGAGCTGGATCAGAAGTGGGTCAGCCGGAACTTGAACTGGCAGCCATGTGGGATGCCGGCGCTGTCAGAGGCCGTCTAACCTGCAACACCAGAACACCAGCCCCCAGTGGGTCTTTATACCCCAAATCCATGCTGCTAGATGGGGTAGTTCAGCACATTTAGGACCAGGTGTCATGCCTGAACCAAGTTGATGGAGATGTCTCTGGGCCAGTAAACCCTTTCTCTTTTTAGAACTTCCTCTTCTTTTTTTTTTTTTTTTTAAAGATTTATTTTTTATTTATTTGAAAGACAGAGAGAGAAAGGCAGAAACAGATTAAGAGAAATCTTCCATCTGTTGGTTCACTCCCAAGATGGCCACAATGGCAGAGGCTGGGCCAGACTGGAGCCAGGAGCTTCTTCCAGGTCTCCCATTTAGGTGTAGGAGCCCAAACACTTGAGCCATCTTCCACTGCTTTCCCAGATGCATTAGCAGGGAGCCATATTAGAAGTGGAGCAGCTGGGACTCAAACCACAGGCCTAATCTGTTATGCCATAATAAATGCCCCCCCCTTTTTTTAAAGATTTGTGTATTAATTTGAAAGGCAGCATTGCAGAGGGGGCGGGGATAGACAGATCTTAAATCCACTGGTTTATTCCCTAAATGGCTACAGAAGCTGGGGCTGGGCTGGGCGGAAGCCAGGAGCTTCTCCCAGGTCTCCGGCATGGATCAGAAGTGGGATAGCTGGGACTGGAAGCATTGCCCATAGGGGATGCCGGTGTTGCAGGAATTGGTTTAACCTGCTACGTCACAACACTGGCCCTAGAACTTCCTTTCTTTATCACAGGCAAAAAAGTCAACTTTCTCTCCCCCCGAGAATGTGAAGGAGAAGTCTAATGTTGGTGGGCAGAAGGGGGCCTGGATGAACTCCTCCAGCTTTGCTCCAGGCCCTCTAGGGAATTTGCCTTTTCTTTTTTTTTTTTTTTTTGACAGTGGACAGTGAGAGAGAGAGATAGGGAGAAAGGTCTTCCTTTTCCGTTGGTTCACCCCCCAAATGGCCGCTACGGCTGGCGCACTGTGCTGATCCGAAGCCAGGAGCCAGGTGCTTCCTCCTGGTCTCCCATGCAGGTGCAGGGCCCAAGGACCTGGGCCATCCTCCACTGCCTTCCCGGACCACAGCAGAGAGCTGGACTGGAAGAGGAGCAACCGGGATTAGAACCTGGTATGCCGGCGCCGCAGGCAGAAGATTAGCCTATTGAGCCCGCGGCACCGACCGGAATTGGCTTTTAGGCTTCCTGGCCCGTATGCTTTCTGTCACAGTTACTCTTGCTAGCATGAAAGCAGTTGCAGACAGTAAGTATGGAGCATGGCTGTGCTCCAGTAAAACTTCACGACATGCAGTGGCTGGGTTTGGCCTGCAGGCTGTTGTTGTCCAGCCCCTCTTCTAGACAGGTGAGGAGAAGGTCCCAGGGCTCTGAGAGCTGATGGAGTCGACGAGGTCTGTGGAGGGGAAATGTTTGCTCAGGGTGACTCCAGCCGTTAGATCCCAAAGGAAGCGATGGCGCGCCCTGTGAACTGCTGGTTCACTGCAGATTTCGAACACTGTTTGAAATACATCTTCTCAAATAGGTAGAGCAACACAGCGAGCACTCGTGTAGCTCTCGCCCAGCTTGAACAATTAATAACTCACGGTCTGTCTTGCTCTGTGGATAGCCCTTTGTTGTGGCCCTCCTGGAGTAATAAATCCAAGAAATCACAGCATGTCAGCCTTACACTAAGCGACTGTCACAGCGGAGTGCCACACACGGCTCAGGCCCACTTCTTGCCAGGCTGTTGTCTCCATCTGCTCTTAGATGCTGTACCATAGTTTTCTTTTTCTTTTTTTTTTTTTTTTTTTTTTTTTTTTGACAGGCAGAGTTAGACAATCAGAGAGAGAGAGAGAGAGAGAGACAGAGAGAAAGGTCTTCCTTTTTCCATTGGTTCACCCCCAAAGTGGCTGCTATGGCCGGCGCTCTGCACCGATCCAAAGCCAGGAGCCAGGAGCTTCCTCCTGGTCTCCCATGCGGGTGCAGGGCCCAAGCACTTGGGCCATCCTCCACTGCACTCCCGGGCCACAGCAGAGGGCTGGCCTGGAAGAGGAGCAACTGGGACAGAATCCAGCGCCCCAACCGGGACTAGAACCCGCTGTGCCGGTGCCACAGGCAGAGGATTAGCCTAGTGAGCTGCAGTGCTGGCCAGTGTACCATAGTTTTCAAAGTTTGTACTTGGCCACTGCTGCTACAGCCAGCCTCGGTAAGCTTCTGCATTCTCCAGAGGCCTTGGGACTGTGGGCAGTCCTTGAAGACTGCACCTGCAGTGGGATAAAATCTAGGCTTTTGGCAGAGAAACAGGTGCTTCACCAATTGCAAAGCTCTAGGAGAATCCCATTCTGTTTTTTTTGTAAAGATTTATATATTTATTTGAAAGTCAGAGTTACACAGAGAGAGGAGAGGCAGAAAGAGTGAGAGAGAGAGAGAGAGAGCGGGAGAGGTCTTCCATCCGATGATTCACTCCCCAATTGGCTGCAACAGCCAAAGCTGCGCTGATCTGAAGCCAGGCTCCAGGAGCCTTCTCCGGGTCTCCCACGTGGGTGCAGGGGCCCATGGACTTAAGCCATCTTCCACAGCTATCCCAGGCCATAGCAGAGAGCTGGATTGGAAGTGGAGCAGCCAGGTCTCGAACTGGCGCCCATATGGGATGCTGGCCCTTCAGGCTAAGATGTTAAGCCCCCTGTGCCACGGCGCTGGCCCTGAGAACCCCATTTTGGTAGGTACAGATGGTGGTGTCCCCTTGTGACAATTGCTGTGTCACAGAATTGCCCCCAAAGCCACCTTCTTTTGCCCCTTTCCTGGTAAAGTCCCACTGAGGAGTTTGAGTTGAAGCTGTACCCCCCTGCCTAGATCTGTCTCTGAGTGACCTGTCCTGTGTTGTCTCAGACCTGAGGCAGCGGTATCCCTAACAGAGCACTCTGCAAAACCTTCTACACCTTCTCCTGTGATCCTAACCACAGCCATACAAAATGGAAGTTTTTCCTGATTTTCCTAATTGATGGAATAGCCCAAGGCTCTGAGCAATGGTAGAGTTGAGACTAAGCCCAGCAAATCCCGTGCTCTTTCCCTGGGCCACAGAGAGTGTGGTCCCAGGTTAGCATCACCTGGTAACTTGTTAAAAACACAGAATCTATGTCCCCACTCCAGAGTTAATGAGTAAGAAACTGGGGGTGGCACCCCATAGTGTGTTTTTAACAAGCTCTCCAGGGGATCATCCGCATGAAAAACAAACATCACTCCCCCTCAAGTTATCCTTACCCGCACTGCCCACCTCTGACCACTGCCCCCTTCCACAGAACTGAGACAGAGGCCCCTTGCTGTGCACCGGCACTGCCCACGACATGCAGGTGCGGTCTGACTCCCTGCTGACCCACACTCTGCTCCTCAAGGCCACAAGAGGCAGAAGAGGAGGGAGCCTGGCTGCAGCCCAGGTGTCCTCATAGTTTGGAGATGGAGTCCCATCAGGCTTTCCAACAAGTGTGGCATTCAGACTGTCAATTCTGGACCAGCTTAGTTCTTGGCATAATGTCCATGGTCAGGTATTTTTCCCTTTGACTCCAGCCCTGGTGGTTAAATCTTTTCTTTTTGTGTTTCAGAGGTCTTCTCTGACCAGGCTGCAGATTGTTCATCAGATGTACTTTATAAACCACTTAATGAGAAAGGAGTGCCCCAGTTTAGCAGTTGCCTTGTGCTCCACTGTCAGGTGTAGAGTGCAAGCTGGTTGGTTATAGGCATGGAACAATGAAATAGGTAGGACCTAGAGGGAACTAGGCTCACTTCCTTGGATGGACATTGAGCTGACACCTAGCACTATTTTCCCAAATATCCTGTTCTCTCTCGCTACCTCACATCTCAATGACGAATCTGTGGGTTTGGATTGACCGGAGAGAGCGCCTGTAAGGTTTTAGCCCTCTCGGCTCGGCCCCGGAGTCCGCCCGGCCGGCAGGGGGCGCGCGGTGCTCAGGCCTCTACTCTCTGCCGGGTCCCTGCCGCGCGCTCGGGCCGCGGGAGCTGGCGGGAGCGCGATGGCGGCTGCAAGGAGGCTCATGGCGCTGGCTGCCGGCGTCTCTCCGCGCCTGCGGTCGCCGGGCTCCCGCGCCGCCTGGCGACAGGGACGCTCGCGCGGCCTCTCATCAAGCTGCGCCCGTCCCGACCGCACCAAGGAGGCCGCCGAGGCTGAGGCAGGGGAGGTCCCTGGCGGGCCCGGGGAAGGCGACGGAAGCATGGTGAACGGTGAGGGCAGTGGCGGAGTGAATGGGCCGCGACGCCCTTGACTCCTGGGATGGCTCGGCTCGGGGCTCCGGCCTCGGGCCGCAGTCGGGCCTGGCCGGCCCAGGCCCTGTCTCCAGTAGTGGCTGAGAGTGACATCTGCTGCCAGGCCGCGGCTCTGCTGTGGTAAAGCTCAGATGTTACAGGCCCGGGTGGACACTAGGCGCGCCTTTACCTGGCAAGAATAGGTGAGAGGTGTGGGACTTCGAGGGAGTGGAGGAAAACAGATAAACGTCCCATCACTACCCGGACAGGTGGCCAAGAGTCAGGGCATCAGGGGTAGGCAAGACCTCACCATTGTGGGAAATAGCCCCAAATATGCCTGAACTTTAAGACCGCAGGTAGTGACAGAATGGCTGAACTTGGCTTTGTGACTTCTAAATGGTGTAGACTGAAACTGGTGAGAGTATCTCTGTCCAGCAAGGATGGGTGGAGCCAGCCCCTCCTCCCCCACGCTACTTAGAAGCTGCTTCTTCACTGCTTGATTCCTCGTTGGTTTACAAGGTAATCATTTAGAAGGCACAGGGCTGAGCGGGACTCTCCATCCTGGCCGGTTGAAACAGTCTGCCTCTAGGATATACAGTCTAAAACCTGGCACGGGCTACATCAGTTCCTGGAAGAGCTTTTTCAGAGATAGCGCCTACCCACCCCGCCACCATGCTCAGGTGTGTTGTGGGGAGCAGTCCAGGTGCTGATGAGGCGAAGGTGCAGGAACGTAGACAAGCTCCTCCCGAGCTCCTCTTTGGAGCTGCTTTCAGGTGTAGTGCAATGCCAGAGACAAAGGGTGATGAATGAAAAGCTTCGCTTGTCCAGTGCAGTCTCCGATCTTACATCTCCTGAGGGGCCACTCAGACTTAGACCCTTTCTCTCGGATCTGTTGCTTCCAGCGGCCTCTTGTGTGTGATACATCACCCATTTATGTGTTGGGATTGATGCCACAGACTGATGAAGGAAATGAGGTCTCATTGTGCTTGATGGGACCTTCTTCGCCTGAGTAGAGAAACAAGGAAGGGATAGCGTGTGCCTGTGTCTCAGCTGTGAAGGTCTTCTTTACTTTATCTGTAAGATTTGTTTATTTATTTGAAAGGCAGAGTTACACACAGAGCAGGGAGACAGACAGACGCACACATACGCACACAGAGAGAGATCCTGCATCTGCTGGTTTACTCCCCAGATGGCTGCAATGTCTGGAGCTGGGCCAGGCTGAAGCCAAGAGCTTCTTCTAGATTTCCCATTTAAGTGGCAGGGGCCCAAGGACTTGGGTCATCTTCCGCTGCTTTCCCAGGCACATCAGCAGGGAGCTGGATCGGAAGTGGAGCAGCCAGACTGGAACTGGTGTTCAGATGGGATGCTGTCATGGCAGGTGGTAGCTTTACCCACTACACCACAGCACCGGTCCCTGTGAAGATTTTTAATCAGCCCCTGTTCATATTCTTTTGTAGAGTGCAGCGGTAGAGCTGGAAGCAGAGGCCTGGTGTTCAGGATCCAGAGCTCACCATTGTGCTACATGGGGCTGATCCTTTTTTCCATGATCTTTCAGTAGGAGGGGCCTTTCCCTGTCTTGATCCCAGTGTGTGTGTGGTGGATTTTTGTTTTGTTTTTTTGTTTGTTGATTTCTTTCAGATGTCAGACTCTAGGGGATTTATGGACTCCAGATTTCTGTAACTGTGTTATGAAATAGGAGGAAGAGGATGCTGGCTGGTTCCCTTTTGTGGTATTGGGTCATTGGTCCTTCTCCTTCATGACGGACAAGTGGGTCTGGCCCCACTGTCCCACAAACCTTGAAGCCATCTCTATTTTCCCAGGTACTCCTGGGTGGTTAGGGGTCACAGGCCAGCATCCTCAGAATCTAGCCCAGGGTTGCCCTGATAAACATCCACAGGATTTTTTTTTTTTTTTTTAAAGAAAAAGAATGATTGAAATGCTTTTGTTCTTGTTTTCGTAGCTTCTAGGGACCTATTAAAGGAATTCCCACAGCCCAAAAACCTTCTGAACAGTGTGATAGGAAGAGCTCTCGGCATCTCACATGCAAAAGACAAACTCGTCTATGTGCACACAAATGGACCGAAGAAAAAGGTAAATGCTGGTGGCTGAAGGAGGCTCGATGCTCTTTATTTTTTAAGGTCTCTTTGTCAAGGAGGATGTAGAGTGGGTTTTCTGAATTAAATAGTCAACAGAGAGCCTTAGCCCAGCTAGTTTGAAGAAAAGTCAGAAAATAGGTTTGTGTTACAGGCAGGGAACACTGGGCAGAGCTGCTGAGCAGTCCTCGTCTTGTCTTAGACACCTGTACTGATCCCTGGTTTTGGTCTCCTAACGGCTGACTAGGACTACAGGGAGTCAGTAATTAGAATTCCTGCTCTTAGAGATCTTGTAGATCTTGGGGGGTCCCACTGAAACATGTAGGCAGACCATACTGAGTGAAGATTTATAAAGATAAAATGGGGTCCTAGCTTGCCCTCTGGAAAGAACAGTACCTTGAAGAAGCCAGATAGCTTCAGGTGAAGCAAACCGATCCAGAGTGAGAGAATTAAGAGTGTGGTGAGGACTCGGTGACAGGGTTGGTGTGGTGAGGACTCGGTGACAGGGTTGGTGCACCTGCACTCTCACCTTTGAGCCTGACGTGTTGCTGCCGGGAGGTCCACAGCTTTGCTGTAGATGCTCTGTGTGATCTGTAACGGTTCTGTTGTCTGGACAGGCAAGTATCCTGATTCTCTTTTTTTCCCCAGAAAGTCACCCTGCACATAAAGTGGCCCAAGAGCGTGGAGGTAGAAGGCTATGGCAGCAAGAAGATCGACGCTGAGCGGCAGGCCGCAGCTGCAGCCTGCCAGCTGTTCAAGGTGACTCTGCTCTAGCCAAACCCTTGCCTCTTGCTGGGATAGGTGCTGGTGCCAGATGCATCTTGGTAGAGGTTGACACTGTTCAGCCTTTCACCTGTCCTGAGCCCTTCCTACTTCCTGGTGCCTTCTGTGCTGCTCAGCCAAGGAAGGAGTCAATTTTGTTTTGTTGGCCTCTGTGGTAATTTTTCAGTGGTTTCAAAAACTACACATAAGAACCCCTCTATGAAAAACTGCTTGTGCCTAGCCTGATAGATATATACCTGTTTTTTTTTTTATTTTTTATTTTTATTTTGACAGGTAGAGTTATAGACCATGAGAGAGAGAGACAGAGAGAAAGGTCTTCCTTCTGTTGGTTCACTCCCCTAATCACTATGGCTGGCGCTGCGCCGATCCAAAGCCAGGAGCCAGGAGCTTCCTCCTGGTCTCCCATGCGGGTGCAGGAACCCAAGCACTTGGGCCATCCTCCGCTGCCCTCCCGGGCCACAGCAGAGAGCTGGACTGGAAGAGGAGCAACTGGGACTAGTACCCGGCACCTCGGGGCGCCAGCGCCGCAGGCGGAGGATTAGCCTATTGAGCCACGGCGCCGGCCTGTTTCTTTTTTCTTAATACTTCGTGTGTATTTTCCCCTGTATGCGTGTATGAGGGGTCTTCAAAAAATTTATGAAAGACATACATTATTAAAAATGCATGGATTTCAAAATTTTGTGCCCCAAAATAGGTTAACCCTTTAACTCCATTTTCCACAAGTTTTTGAAGTGTCCTCATGGTCCCATTTCTTTTTTTAAGATTTATTTATTTGAAAGGGAGTTACAGAGAGAGGAGGAGAGCATGAGATATTCCATTCGCTGGTTCACTCCCCAAATGGCCACAGCAGCTGGGGTTGGGCCAGGCCAATGCCAGGCCAATTAGCAGGAAGCTGGATTGGAAGTGGAGCAGCCAGGGCTCAAACTGTTGCCCGTATGGGATTCTGGCATCACCAGCAGTGGCTTCACCCACTTTACTACCACACTGGCCTCATGGTCCTGTCTTGTAATGGAAAGATGATGGTTATGATTGCTTTTCTCATTTTCCAGAGGTCAAACCTGAGTTGCTTTCAGGTTTTTGGTGAGCTGGCCTTTCCAGGGCTTGCCAGTCTGTGTCCGTCCCTAATTGCCATCGTGGCTATGCCAGCTTTCAGACTTCCTCAGATTCCTAGGTCTTCATCTCTGCTCTGAAGTAGTGGAGCTGAGGGGTGTGTTTTCCTCCGACTTTCCTTCCAGGCTTCCACCGACCCTGCTCCTTCCTGCTCTGCAGAGAAAAGGCCTCCCCTCGCCCCCAATCCTGCTCCGTACGTCTCCACCATATTTCTCAGTCCCCCTTCCGTGTTGCTTCTCCTTCCCCTCTTTCACCCTTTGCTTTCTCAGATCGTTCCTCTGCTAATGTGCTTCTGTAGCCTCACAGGAATGCAGTGTTCTGAGCTTTTCCTTTGGCCCTGCTTCAACTGCAGACCACTCTCAGGGGTTGTGATCTACATTTTCTCTCTCCCAGGTCAAGGCTGTTTTCTGGCCTCTGGCCAGCTTTGTATCCCTGTAGTGCTTGGCATGTAGAGGTGATTGCCAGGTGACTGTGCAGTGATGGGAACAATACTTGGCCAGGCTTAGCCTTTTCTCAGTCCTTCCTCTGTTCAAGGCTTCTGTGGCTTTGGCACTGCCAGACTTCTCTTTCGAGTTCCTGGAGATCCCTGCTTCTCTTTTCTCCCTGGGCCACTCTTCTCCCACCCTCTAAAATCTCTTTCTGTCCTTCTCCTGGGTGAATCTTAATGGCTCAACCATCTTTCTTATATTTAATGTTTCAAGAATCTGTCTCGCCGGCGCCGCGGCTCAACAGGCTAATCCTCCACCTTGCGGCGCCGGCACACCGGGTTCTAGTCCCGGTCGGGGCACCGGATTCTGTCCCGGTTGCCCCTCTTCCAGTCCAGCTCTCTGCTGTGGCCAGGGAATGTAGTGGAGGATGGCCCAAGTACTTGGGCCCTGCACCCCATGGGAGACCAGGATAAGTACCTGGCTCCTGGCTTCTGATCAGCATGATACACCAGCCACAGTGCGCCGGCTGTGGCGGCCATTGGAGGGTGAACCAACGGCAAAGGAAGACCTTTCTCTCTGTCTCTCTCTCTCACTATCCACTCTGCCTGTTAAAAAAAAAAAAAAAAAAAAGAATCTGTCTCGTATAGGGTATGTCTTAGTGATTCTCAGCTGGAAATGATCATGCCCCTCAGGAGATTTTTTTTTTAAATTTTTTATTTGAAAGGTGGTGTTATAGAGGCAGAGAGAGAGAGATAGAGGTCTTCTATCTGCAGGTCACTCCCCAAATGGCTGCAATAGCTGGAGCTGGGCCAATCTGAAGCCGAGAGCCTGGAGCTTCTTCCGGATCTCCCACGTGGGTGCAGGGGCCCAAAGACTGGGCCATCTTCTGCTACTTTCCCAGGCCATAGCAGAGAGCTGGATCAGAAGTGGAGCAGCTGGGATTTGAACTGACACCCATATGGGATGCTGGCACTCTAGGGGATGGCTTAACCCACTACGCCACTTACACTAGCCCCAGGAGATGCTTAATTTAATTTTTATTGTTATGTATGTATATCAGTCACCTGCATCCACACATGCAAACACAGTTGAAATGATTACTGTGGTCAAGCAAATCAATGTATCTGTCACATTGCTTAGTTATTTCAGGTGTGTGTGTATGTGTGTGTGTGTGCATAAGAAGACCTAAAATGCACGAGCTTCACAATTTTCAGAATATAATGATTTTATTATTTATTATAGTCCTCTTCCTTATCCACTTCCTTTCTGCTCCTGGTAACCACTGCTCTACTCTGTTTTTATGTATTTGATTTTTAGAGTCTGTGTACCCTTTTAAGTGAGATCGTACAGTGTTCTGTGTCTGGCTTAATGTCCTCTAGGTTCATCTACTTTACTGTAGATGATGGCGTTGCCTTTCTTTCTTTTTTTTTTTTTTTAAGATTAACTTTTTATTTATTTGAAAGACAGAGTTACAAAGAGAGGTAGAGACAGAGAGAGAGAGATCTTCCATCTGCTGGTTCACTCCCCAGATGGCCACAACGGCCAGAGCTGCGCTGTTCTGAAGCCAGGAGTTTCTTCTGGATCTCCCACACAGGTGCAGGGGCCCAAGGACTTGGGCTTTTCCAGGCCATAGCAGAGAGCTGGACTGGAAGAGGAAAGCTGGGAATAGAACTGGCCCCATATGGGATGCTGGCGCTTCAGGCCAGGGCTTTAACCCGCTGCACCACAGTGCCAGCCCCAGCATTGCCTTTCTTAAGGATGAATAGCATTCTGTTGAGTGTGTGCTCTCTGAAGGTTCATGGTTCATAAATTTTTGAGTCCATGCATATGAGTTATCTTCAAAAACTTCATGCACTTCAAAATTTTTGTCCCAAATAAGCTTATTTTTAAAACATATACATATATATTTATATTTTATATATTTAAGCCATTTGTTTTATATGCATATAAATACATATAAAACATTTTATACATACTAAAATTTATTTGTAGAGCAGGGAGAGAGAGCAAGAGAGGCAGTATTCCCAGTCACTGCTTCATTTCCCAAATGCCTGCAACAGCCAAGGCTGGGCAGTGCCAAAGTCAGGAGCCAGTAACTCAGTCAGGGTCTCTTGGGTGGCAGGGACCCAACTACTTGAAACATCACCTACTGTCTCCTGGGGTACACATTAGCAGGACACTGAAATTTGGAGTGGACTGGTACTCAAACCCAGGCACTCTGATATGGGATGTGAGTATCCCAGGTAGCATCTTAACCACTAGACCAAATGCCTGCCCCATAAATAAACTTTTGATTCCATTTCCACAAACTTTGGGACATAGTACTTTTGTATACACTGCTCAAACACTGGGGTTGTTTCCATGTTGTGGCTGTTTTGAATAACATCACAGTGAAAATGAGAACGCACATACCTCCACAAGGTGCTGATTTGCTTGGTGTATGGTGATTCTATTTTGACTTTTTTGAGAAACCTGTGCACTGATTTCCATAATGGCTGCCTTGTACATAGGGCTCCTTTTTTTCCCACATCCTGTTCCTGTCCTGTCATTTTGATAATAGTGGTTTTTTTTTTTTTTTTTTTTTTTTTTTTGACAGAGTGGACAGTGAGAGAGAGAGACAGAGACAAAGGTTTTCCTTTGCCGTTGGTTCACCCTCCAATGGCCGCCGCTGGTGGCGCGCTGCGGCCGGCGCACCGCACTGATCCGATGGCAGGAGCCAGGTGCTTTTCCTGGTCTCCCATGGGGTGCAGGGCCCAAGTACTTGGGCCATCCTCCACTGCACTCCCTGGCCACAGCAGAGAGCTGGCCTGGAAGTGGGGCAACCGGGACAGAATCTGGCGCCCCGACCGGTACTAGAACCCGGCGTGCCAGCACCGCAAGGTGGAGGATTAGCCTAGTGAGCCGCGGTGCCGGCTTATATAATAGTGGTCCTAATAGGTATGAGGCCATATTGTGGCTTTTGTTTGTTTGTTTTTAAGATTTATTTTATTTATTTTAAAGATACAGTTAGAGGAAGAGACAGAAAGGGATCTTCATGCACTGGTTCACTCCCCAGGTGGTCACAGTGGCTAGGAGTAAGCCAAGCCAAAAACCAGAAGCCTGGAACTCCATCTAGCCCAAGCTTCTGATGCCTTCCCAGGTGCATTAGCAGGAACTAGATTGGAAGACTCAGCTTGGCACTCTCAGAGGATGCCAGCGTCACAGGTGGTGGCTGAACCTGCTGCACTGCCTGCTGGCCCTGGTATTGTAGTTGTGATTTGTATTTCCCAAATAAGTGATGTGCAGCACCTTTTAATTTATCTGTTTGTTGTTTATATGGTTTATTTTGGGAAAAATGTCTATTTAGTTATTTGTCCTTTTAAAAAATGTAGTAAAATTTGTGAGGCAGAAAGACAAAGAGTCAACACTCCCATTCCACTGGTTTACTCCTTAAATACTTGGGAACTCAGCCGGGTTTCCCGCTTTGATGGCAGAGATCCAGTTTATTCAGCCATCACTGCTGCTGTTCAGCATCTGCGTTGGTGGGAAGCTGGAGCCAGGCATTCTGGTGTGGGAGGCAGGCATCTTAACCGCTCAATTAATTTCCTACTGCCCCCTGCCCACCTTTTACAGAGAAAACGGTTTCCTTTTTATTTCAAAGGCAGAGTTACAGAGAGACAAGATGAGCGAGATCTTCTACCTGCTGGGTAACTCCCCAAATGGCTGCAACAGCTGGTGCTGGGCTAGACTGAAGCCAGGAGCCCAGAGCTTTCCCAGGTGCATTAGCAGGGAGGTGGATCAGAAGTGGAACACCCTGGACTCAAACTGTTGCCCATAGGGGATGCTGGCATTGCAGGCAGTGGCTTAACTTACTACACCACGGTGCTGCCATCGCTCCACCCCGCCTGCCTTTTTTTGAGAGGCAGAAGAAGAGAAAGAGTCAGCTCCCATTCTCCCATTCATTGGATCCCTCCCCAGATGCTCACAGTGCTGTTGGCTAGACTGGAAACTGGGAGCTAGGATCTCAGTCCAGGTCTCATTTGGTGGCAGGAAGCCAGTTATTTGAGCCATCAATGCTTCCTCCCAGGTCCTTCATTGGCGGGAATGGAGATGGGTGTTGAACTCAGGTACTTTGATGTAGGAGGCCAGCATCCTAAATGCTAGGCTGTATGTGTGCTACCTGTTTTGAAAAATACATGTGTTTATTCATTCCTTCATTTGAATGGTAGAGAGAGGGACATGCAAGCAAAGATATTCCATCTACTGATTCACTTCCCAAATATCTTCAACAGCTAGGGCTGGGCCAGAACTTGTGCCTAGAACTTATTCCAGTTCCCCCAACTTGGGTGGCGGGGACCCAGACACTTGGACCATCATCCACTGCTGCCCAGGGTGTGCATTAGCAGGAAGCTAGAGTTAGGGACAGATCTGGAATTCAAACCCCGGTATTTTGATATGGGATGTGGAGGTCCCAAGCAGTGTGTTAACTGGTATGCCACATGTTTACCCTGTTTTTATTTGTTAAAAGTTTGTCTCTGGTCTTATATTTAGGTCTTTAACCCTTTTTTCAATTGATTTTTGTATGTAGCTTAAGGGAAGGGTCCAGTTTCCTTCTTTTTGCCTGTGGATATCTGGTTTTCCCTGTAGCCTTTATTGAAAGAGTTATCCTTGTCCCATTGTATTTTCTTGATTTTTCTTATTGAAAATTAGTTGGCCATATATACTTGGATTTATTTCTGGGTTATTTTGTTCTGTTTTTCTTTGTGTCTTTGTGTGGCAGTGTGATACTCCTGATTATCATAGCTTTGTGGTAGAATTTGAAATCAGTTTGTGTGCTGCCTCAGCTTTATTTTTCTTTCTTTGGATTGCTTTGATTATCTGAAGTCTTTGTGGTTCAAATGTATTTTAGAATTTTTAATATTTTTTTCATTTGGAAAATGCTGTTGGAATTTCGGAATCAGGATTGCACTGAATTTCTGTTTTGCTTTGGGGAATGTGGACATTTTAACAGTATTATTTCTTCCAGTTCATGAACATGGGATGTTATCTTTCCATTTATTTGTATCTTCATTTTCTTTCAATGATTATTTTATGGTTTTCAGTGTGTACTTTGAAAGTAGTTGATTCTTTTGCTTGGTATCATAAATGGGATTTTAATAATTTGTTTATCAAATAGATTGTTACTGATGTAGAGAGAAATGTAGCTCATTTTTAAGTTTTTTTTTTATCCTTTAATTCTGTAGCATTTTTTAATAATTTTTATTTGTTTTTATCTTTTCATTTGAAAGCCAGAGAGACAAAGATCAAGGGAGCTCTTTGATCAACAGCCAGTACTGTGCCCAGGATTCCATCTGGTCTCCCACATTTGTGGCAGAGACCCAAGTATTTGAGCCATTTCCTGCTGCCTGCCAGGGTGTGCACCAACAGGAAGCTGGGATTGGAACCCAGATGCTCTGACCTAAAATGGTGTCCCGGGCAGCATCTTAACAATTGTGCCAAATGCCTGCTTCACATTGAGTATTTCTGTATAATTTGTTTAGAAATGTTTCAACTTGCTTGTGCAGAATGTATTCCCAGCATAGGGTTCTTGTGTCAGAAGTCACAGCATCTTTTTTTTTTTTTGACAGGCTGAGTGGACAGTGAGAGAGAGAGACAGAGAGAAAGGTCTTCCTTTGCCGTTGGTTCACCCTCCAATGGCCGCCGCGGCCAGCGCGCTGCGGCCGGCGCACCGCGCTGATCCGATGGCAGGAGCCAGGTGCTTTTCCTGGTCTCCCATGGGGTGCAGGGCCCAAGCACCTGGGCCATCCTCCACTGCACTCCCGGGCCACAGCAGAGAGCTGGCCTGGAAGAGGGGCAACCGGGACAGAATCCGGCGCCCCGACCGGGACTAGAACCCGGTGTGCCGGCGCCGCTAGGTGGAGGATTAGCCTAGTGAGCCGCAGCGCCGGCCTAGAAGTCACAGCATCTTGTGTGTATGTGCACGGCCTGGTCACCACATTCACTGAGCCATCTCGAGTTCTCTGTGTGTGAACTTTCTGCTCCTCCTCTGCTTTGTGGGTTTGTTTTAAACTTAATTGATATAAGCATTTATTTTGTCATTTTTCATTATCAAAGCTAGGCTTTTTAAAAAATTTATTTGAAGGAGCTGGCTCTGTGGCGTAGCAGGTAAAACCGCCACCGGCAGTGGCAGCATTCCACATGGGTGCTGGTTTGAGTCCCAGCTGCTCCACTTACAATCCAGCTCTCTGCTATTGCCTGGGACAGCAGTAGAAGATGGCCCAAGTTCTTGGGCCCCTGCACCCACATGAGATGAGAGACCCGGAAGAAGCTCCTGGCTCCTGGCTTTGGATCGGTGAAGCTCCAGCCATTGCAGCCAGTTGGGGAGTAAACCAGTGGTTGGAAGACACCTGCCCCCTCTCCCCCTCTCCCCCTCTCCCCCTCTCCCCCTCTCCCCCTCTCCCCCTCTCCCCTTCTCTCCTTCTCCCCCTCTCCCCCTCTCCGCCTCTCCCCCTCTCCGCCTCTCCCCCTCTCCGCCTCTCCGCCTCTCCGCCTCTTTCCCTCTTCCTCTCTCCTTCTCTGTGTGACTTTAACTTTCAAATAAATAAATAAATAAATATATCTTTTAACAAAATTATTTGAAAAGCAGAGTGACAGAGAAATAGTTATCTGCCAGCTGTTGGTTCACTCCCCAAATGGCTATAATAGAACTCCATCCACGTCTCACACATGAATGGCAGTTACCCAGCCACCTGGGCCATCTTCTACTGCCTTCCCAGGCAAGGAGCTGGATTGGAAGTAGAATAGCCAGACTCAAACTGGCACTTTGATGTAGGATGTTGGCATCACAAGGAGGGGCTTAACCTGCTGCACCAAAACATTGGCACCAAAGCTAGGGGTTCTTTAGCATTTTCTGTATTCCCGGTTCTGGCCGTGGGGCTGAGGTAGTTAGACAGATGCTCTGTGACACAAGGCAGACTGAAGAGTAAAGATGGTGTGGACCCTCACAGTGTCCCTTCCTCCCCCCAGGGCTGGGGCCTGCTGGGTCCACGCAATGAACTGTTTGATGCTGCCAAATACCGAGTGCTAGCTGATCGCTTTGGCTCGCCGGCTGACAGCTGGTGGCGCCCGGAACCCACCATGCCCCCCACTTCCTGGCGGCAGCTGAATCCTGAGAACATTCGGCCAGGGGGACCAGGTGGCCTGTCCCGCTCCTTGGGTCGGGAGGAAGAGGAAGATGAAGAGGAAGAGCTAGAAGAGGGGACCATTGATGTTACTGAATTCCTGTCCATGACCCAGCAGGACTCCCACAACCCACTCAGGGACTCAAGGTATAGCTGGATGCAGGGGACAGTGGTCCAGTGACATGAGGAGGGGTGCATATTTCCTGGGAGCCTCCTGAAGTGGGTCTCTGTCCCCCATTGCAGCCTGCATGTGCTGTCACTCACTAGTGTGTCTGCTCATTCTTGGGGGACAGCCACTTCTGGTGCTGTGTTGCGTGGCTCGGCTTCGACAGCACCACAGCACAGGCGCTCTGTGCAGCTCACCTGTGAGTCCGCCTGCTTGCCCTCTGCCCTTTCTGGGGGAACAGAGGGAGAGCGGTGAGGCCCAGCCTGCCTGCTGCGACACTGCAGCCGGCATCCTGGCTTCCAGGTCTCAGGAAGAGAGAACATTCTCACCTGACCTTCTGTTCCTCCCAGGGGGGGGTCCTTTGAAATGACAGACGATGACAGTGCTATTAGGGCTTTGACCCAGTTTCCGCTTCCCAAGAACCTCCTGGCCAAGGTGATTCAGATTGCAACGTCCTCCTCCACAGCTAAGGTGAGTTGGGGGGGGCCTCCTGGAAGCCTTTGGGTGAGGGGCGGGGAGGGACATGTTTGACCATGTCAGCTTTCCCTGAAGACCAGGTAGGAGGGCAGCTGGAGGGACTTGGGCTCCTTGGAGGGTGAAAAGGGACTTGCAGCTGGGACAGCTGTGAGTCCCAGTGCAGGAGCCTAGGAGTGGGTCTGGAGGCTGGGGGAGTGGAGGTATGGGTGGCCATCTTGATGAGAGGACTGTGATCGTTGCAGCCAGGCCCACGGGCTTTGGGTAAGCAAGACTTCCGGACAGGTACAAGCCACTCGTACCTCCCCAGAACGGGCCTGACTTCCAGCTCGTGCTGACAGCTGCCCTCCTGGGTGCTGAGGACGGTGGGCAGCACAGAGGTAGTGTGGCATTGCTGAGACACCATCTTCTGCTGTGCGTGTTGGGGCGCATCGGGAGAAGCCAGCCCAGGACTAGGTGCTTGCCCCATGGGGCTTGCTTCTGGTCGTGTGGTGGTGCTTCTGATAGGGCTGCCATCTGGCACTGCTGAGATGGCTACTAATTCCATCTCTGGCATCTGCGTGTTCTGAGAATGCCACGTGTCTCTTTTCAGTCCCCTTTTGTCACCTTCTCAACTTGTCTTCCATGTAGAACCTCATGCAGTTCCATACTGTGGGCACCAAGACCAAGCTGTCTACACTCACCCTGCTCTGGCCTTGTCCTATGACCTTTGTTGCCAAAGGGCGCCGCAAAGCAGAGGCTGAGAATAAGGCAGCAGCCTTGGCCTGCAAGAAGCTGAAGGTGAGTGCAGGAGTGTCCCTGGTGTGGTACATGAGGGTGTTGGGGGCTGCCCTCTACACTGGGGAGGACGGCTCCACGTTTCTGGGACATGAAGCCACAGCAGGCCGATGTCCTGGTGTCTGAGGCTCGTTGGCAGGCTGTGTGGCTGCCGAGTCCATGGTTTCCCCAGTGCTTCTGAGGTGTTTTGCCTGTAGCTCAGCCTTCTCTGTACTTGACCAAAACCTGGGAAAGCCAGGAGACTTGCCCATCATTCTGAGTGGCAGGATACTGGGTGTGGTGGCGGTGCTGGGATGAGAGGTGGACACTGTCCAGAAAGACCCCAGTGACCTGGACTTGGTGGCCAAAATGAAGGATCGGATGTGGGTCTGGGAAGCCAGCAACCTCAGGGTGAAGGCCATGTGACGTGCGAGTCAGTTGGCTGAAGCAGCTTTGTAAGTAGGAGCAGGGGCATAGGAGTGGAGTCAGCACTACACCAGCTGCCTGAGACGGCTGTTGGTGCTGTGAGCTGACGGCTGAGGGGTCTGCAGGAGGGGAAGCCACCTTGCTGTGCTCTGCACGGTCAGGTGTACAGGTGTGCTTCTGGTGCAGGCGGCTCTGGGAACCGCATCTGGGTAAGCTGATGGGGGCAGCTGAGGAAACCGCGAAAGCAGAGGAGAAGGGCGAGCAGGGATGGGGTGAGATGGAAGAGGGAACGGATGTGCTTCCCTTGGCTCCAGGGGCCAGAACGAGGACTGACTGGCAGATCTGTGTGGAAGCCTGAATTTGTGCTCAGTTCACGCAAGCCACTGATGGTCAGAAGCATGTGGACGTGGTAAAGGCCTATCGGAAGGAGCAAGCTTCCAGCTGGCCGCAGTGTTGGATGGCTACCTGTCGGCGAGGCTGCCTGGTAAAACCCCAAGTCCTAAGAGAGGACGGGGGCTATGTTGGCACTGACCTGTGTGTAGTCCAGGGACTGGATCCCCGTGTCTGAGGTCCTGACACCTAACCGAAGCAGAGATTCCTGTAGGGGAAGCCTACTTAAGGATGGAGCGTCTGATCTGGGCTTTGGATGGGGAGCAGAGTGCAGACCTTGGAGGTGACAGAAGCACAGGGTGTCATTGACGAGGTGAACTTTGGCCTAGGGGGTCAGAATGGATTTGCTTCCTGGTGAGATGGCTTTAGGGGATGCTTGGAGCAGTAGTATTATCCCTCAAGAGGCATATTTTATTTTATCATGTTGCCTAAATGGACACTGATGAGGTCACAGATGGGAAGGGCCACCCAGAGACCAGGAGGTGGCTGTGGCAGCTGGAGCAGGACTGGGTTGACCCGGCATTGGTGAGGTCCAAAGAAGAGGCGCCTTCAGGGTATGCGGCAGAGTTGCTCGGGGCTGAGCTGGTTCCTGGTGGCCCATGTCGGGAGTCTGGAGGGGAGATGGGTCTCGGGCTGTTGGGGGGCCACGGGTTCCAGCTGCTCAGAAGTTTGTTGGCAGGGCACCGCACTTGGGGCCGGTGGCACTGCTGTACTTTGCTACTTCAGGTTTAGTTTGCCTTGAATTCATTTTAACTAACTTTTTTAAAATGGATTTTGTGGGGACAGAAATTTTCCTGGTTCCTGATTTACTCTCAGCATGTGAGCAGGAAGCCGGCTCTTGGAAGAGGTTGCTGGTGCAGCTTCTGTGGAGCTCCCGAGGCCGTCGGGGCCCGTTCTCGGGGAGCTGGAGCAGTGCTCGATCGAGGGCTGCCTTTCCTCTCTGCAGAGCCTGGGCCTGGTGGACAGGAACAACGAGCCGCTTACCCATGCCATGTACAACCTGGCCTCCCTGCGGGAGCTGGGCGAGACCCAGCGGCGGCCGTGTACCATCCAGGTGCCGGAGCCCATCCTCCGCAAGATAGAGACCTTCCTAAATCACGTAAGAGAGCCCAGATACCCCTCCCCACCAACTCCCTGCAGTCTGGTCGCCTCCACCTGTAACAGGCAGTGGGGACCACCCCTCCCATTTTCCACTGATGGAACCTGGGACACCCCCCCCCCCTCCAAGCCCACCTCAAGCAGCCTGGTCTTGCCCCCATGGGTCCCAGGCTGGTCACGGACCAAGTCCTCTGCCTAGAGGGTAGGGCCACATCATTGGAGCCTGGTGCGCCTGTGTAGGCTGTGTGTGTGTGTGTGGGAACAGGCAAGCCATGCTTCTCTTCAGGGTTTTGTTTGTCCCCTAACCCCCCAGTATCCTGTGGACAGTTCGTGGATCTCTCCAGAGCTGCGGCTGCAGGGCGACGACATTTTGCCCTTGAGCAAGGACTCTGGGCCCCTGAGTGACCCTATCACGGGCAAGCCCTACGTGCCTCTGTCAGAAGCAGAGGAAGTGCGGCTGAGCCAGAGCTTGCTGGAGCTGTGGCGGCGGCGAGGACCAGTCTGGCAAGAGACCCCTCAGCTACCTGTAGACCCCCATCGGGATACCATCCTCAATGCTATTGAACAGCACCCGGTGGTGGTCATTTCCGGGGACACCGGCTGTGGGAAGACCACGCGCATCCCGCAGCTACTGCTGGAGCGCTATGTGACAGAGGGCCGTGGCGCCCGCTGCAATGTGATCATTACCCAACCTCGCCGCATCTCGGCTGTGTCCGTGGCCCAGCGGGTCAGCCATGAACTGGGCCCTTCCTTGCGCCGGAATGTGGGCTTCCAGGTGCGGTTAGAAAGCAAGCCCCCAGCCCGAGGTGGAGCACTGCTCTTCTGTACCGTGGGCATCCTGCTGCGGAAGCTGCAGAGCAACCCCAGCCTGGAGGGCGTGAGCCACGTCATTGTGGACGAGGTGCACGAGCGGGATGTGAACACGGACTTCCTGCTCATTCTGCTCAAGGGCCTGCAGCGGCTCAACCCGGCCCTGCGGCTGGTGCTCATGAGCGCCACGGGCGACAATGAGCGCTTCTCCCGCTATTTTGGTGGCTGCCCCGTCATCAAGGTGCCTGGATTCATGTACCCTGTCAAGGAGCACTACCTGGAAGACATCCTGGTCAAGCTGGGCAAGCACCAGTACCCGCACCGGCACCGGCACCATGAGGTGAGGGACACTCCCACCCTGGCTCACAGGGCTTCTGGCCTGTGCTCTGTGGATCCCCTCTTCCCTGGCCCTGTGGCTCGGTGGCCTAGGGCAAGTTGCCCTGTTAGCTCTGTGGCCAGCAGGCGAGGGTTGGCGCTGTCGCGTCAACTGGCTCTGCCTCACTACGTCACAGTGGCTGTGTCCTGTGCACAAGCCCTTGGCCCCAGGGGCTGTGACCGTGGCCTCTTTTCCCCTCCCCCAGTCGGAGGATGAATGCGCGCTTGATTTGGACCTCGTGACTGATCTGGTTCTGCACATCGACGCCTGTGGGGAACCAGGTGGGTGCTTTCCCTCTCCCTTATTCCCACCCCGAGCACTTGTGTAGGAGCAACTGGCTCATGCCTGCAAGGCCCCTTTGCAGGTGGGATCCTGTGCTTCCTGCCTGGATGGCAGGAGATCAGAGGAGTGCAGCAACGCCTCCAGGAGGCCCTGGGCTTGCACGAGAGCAAGTACCTCATCCTGCCAGGTGAGAGCCCGGTGCAAGGGCGGATGGACCCCTAGAAACAAGCCTTGCCCTCTCCTGGGAAACCCAATGGAATGGACTCGGGCCCGAGTTGATGACCCAGCTGCCTCATTTCTTGCTGGGCATAGGCCTCAGTTTCATCAGGATGGGGTTGGAGTCCTTGCCCTGCCCCGATTCTAGGAGGTGGTTCTGGCAGGAGTGTGCCTATAACCAGTGTGTGTCTTGCTCCCCAGTGCACTCCAACATCCCCATGATGGACCAGAAGGCCATATTCCAGCAGCCTCCAGCAGGGGTGCGCAAGATTGTCTTGGCCACCAATATTGCCGAGACCTCCATCACGGTCAATGACATTGTACATGTGGTGGACAGCGGTCTGCACAAGGAGGAACGCTACGACCTGAAGACCAAGGTGGCACCTATCTCCTGGGCCCAGCCAGACCCCGGGGGAAGGACTCCAATCCCAAGGTGGCCCCCAGTCCAGACCTGCCTTACAGCGGCTCTGTCTCTGGAGAAGGCCACGCTCGTGGGCTTTGACTGTCCCTGCTGCGGTGTGTGTTGGGGGGGGAGTCCTGTGGTGTCCGTGTGGCTGCTCACCTGCTTCTTCCCCCAGGTGTCCTGCTTGGAGACTGTGTGGGTGTCGAGAGCAAACGTGATCCAGCGTCGGGGCCGGGCAGGCCGCTGCCAATCAGGCTTTGCCTACCACTTGTTCCCACGGAGCCGGCTGGAGAAAATGGTCCCTTTCCAAGTGCCAGAGATCCTGCGCACACCTCTGGAGAACCTGGTGCTGCAAGCCAAGATCCACATGCCTGAGAAGACGGTGCGTGGGGCTGGGGCTGGGGCTGGGGCTGGGGCTGGATGGGGCTGGCCTTGGGAGCAGGCAGGTGAGCTGCAGACTCACAGGGAGCTCTGGCTTATTCCTGCTGTAGGCAGTCGAGTTCCTCTCGAAGGCTGTGGACAGTCCAAACATCAAGGCGGTAGATGAGGCTGTGATCTTGCTCCAGGAGATCGGTGCGTAGGAGCTGGGCTGGGCTCTGGGGTGGCTCTCAGATGGGACTGACAGCTGAGCCATTGCAGGGGTGCTGGACCAGCGAGAGTACCTGACCACCTTGGGGCAGCGTCTGGCCCACATCTCTACTGACCCGCGGCTGGCCAAGGCTATCGTACTAGCTGCCATCTTCCGCTGCCTGCACCCACTGCTAGTGGTGGTTTCCTGCCTCACCCGGGACCCTTTCAGCAGCAGCCTGCAGAACCGGGCAGAGGTGGACAAGGTCAGACCCAGTCCCTCCCCTCAGCCCCCTGGCTCCCCCTTCCAGCCTTCCAGCCACATCCTGTCTGAGGCGGCCTTCTCCAGCCCCTCCCTGTGACCCTGGTACTCCCCCCGCCCCCCTAACCCAGGTGAAGGCATTGCTGAGCCATGACAGCGGCAGCGACCACTTGGCCTTTGTGCGGGCTGTAGCCGGCTGGGAGGAGGTGCTGCGTTGGCAGGACCGCAGCTCCCGGGAGAACTACCTAGAGGAAAACCTGCTCTACGCACCCAGCCTGCGCTTCATCCATGGTCAGCGGGGTCCACACCTGGGCTCCTCAGCCCCTCCTGCCTGCTCCCACCCATGCCCACCCACACTAACTCCTGTCGTTCCCTAGCCTTGTGGCTGGAGGGCCCTGGTTCATGGTGCACTTGCTCCCACAGGGCTCGTCAAGCAGTTCTCGGAGAACATTTACGAGGCTTTCCTGGTGGGGAAGCCGTCAGACTGCACGCTGCCCTCTGCCCAGTGCAATGAGTACAGTGCGGAGGAGGAGCTGGTGAAGGGCGTGCTGATGGCTGGTCTCTATCCCAACCTCATCCAGGTGCAGCCTCTGGGGGCAGGAGCTGACCATATCCCAGCTGCCTCCCTTCTTCAGCTCCTTCCCTGACCTCACCCATCCTTTTCTCCATCCCTGCAGGTGAGGCAGGGCAAAGTGACCCGACAGGGGAAGTTCAAGCCCAACAGTGTCACTTACAGGACCAAATCAGGCAACATCCTGCTGCACAAGTCAACCATTAACAGGTTGGGGACCGGCAGGAGTGGACTGGGCAGCTGGGTAGGGCCCAAAGCACAGCCTCAACCCAGCCGTCTATTCCCTAGGGAGGCCACAAGGTTACGGAGCCGATGGCTGACATATTTCATGGCAGTCAAGTCCAATGGCAGCGTCTTTGTCCGGGACTCCTCCCAGGTGCACCCGTTAGCTGTCTTGCTGCTGACCGATGGCGACGTGCACATCCGCGGTGGGTACCTGCAGACTTCCCAGCCCCACGGCTCCATGGGATGCGCCATGGCCTTGGGCCCAGCCTCACTGTGCTCTCTCCGGTCTCTTCCCTTCCCCCAGATGATGGGCGCCGTGCCACCATCTCACTGAGTGACAGTGACCTGCTGCGGCTGGAGGGTGACTCACGCACTGTGCGGCTGCTGAGGGAGCTGCGCAGGGCCCTGGGCCGCATGGTGGAGCGGAGCCTGCGCAGTGAGCTGGCTGCGCTTCCCCCCAGTGTGCAGCAGGAGCACGGGCAGCTGCTGGCACTGCTGGCAGAGCTGCTGCGAGGACCCTGTGGTAGCTTTGATGTGCGCAAGACAGCAGATGACTGAGCCCCACTCCCTGGGGCTGTGTACAGAGTGCAAATGTTTATTTAAAATAAAGTTCTATTTATCCCTTGTGAGCATCGCTACCCACTAGGGGCTCCTCTCAGGGCCTCAGCTGCCCGACATCGAGGAAGCATGAAGGGAGAGACAGAAGTGTCTTCCTGGGGGACAGGGCCTGTGGTAGCCCTGAGTTGTGGTTTAGACTGTCCTCCCTACCCCCCAGGAGTTGACCCTGCAGTGCTGCTACGCTGAAGGCCAGCCCCAGCCTTCGGCGCAGCGCCTCACCTAAGTCCCCAACGCCACAGGTGGCCTGTCAGAACCATCACTGCCTTTGCAAACCTGGACACTGGACTCGCCTGCCTGGACTATAACCCTCCGGTCGTGCCATCGCCCTGCTACAAACTCGGTAGGACCCACGGATTCGCAGGTGAGGGTCTGAGTGCTGGCTGAGGTCTTCGCTGGTGCCAGAGGTGGAGACAAACGAGCACAGGCCTGTGTGGTGGGACATCAGGCAGCTTTATTTACTCTTGAAATCATTACAGTGGAGTCAGGTTGACATGGGGAATGGCTGGGCCATGGCCATAAGCAAATTGGGAAGTACAGAAATGTCCCACCCTCAAGTGGCTGCAGAGCAGTAGACACCACACGGTGGCCACTGGTCCCCACCTGTCAGGCCAGCCACCTCAGGCTCTCTGCCTTTTTGGGATCCTCCAAGGAAGCTGTGACCAGTGAACCTCTAAGAAGAGCTCTCTACTTGGGTCACCCCATTCTTTCAAACTCTTGGCCAAAGGAAACAGCATCCTTGTGGCTCCAGGATAACAGCAGGAACCTTTGGAATCAGCCTCACTCCTGTGCCCCCTCCCCAGTTTGATCACTCCTCTTCCTCCTGTTGACCAAACATTGGAGCTTTAAGGTCCAGGCACGATGAAGCATCCTGCAGACTGGGAGGGAAGTGGGGTTCCCCCAGGTCACTGTGGTTTCTTGGCTTGTACTTGGGGCGCTGGTCTCAAACTGCCCCAGGCAAACAAACTGCTGCCTCAAAATACGAGGGAGCTGTAAGGCATAGGGATGCCCTCGTGCCACATGAAGAGCAAACCTGAACCTGCGTGAAAACCTCCGCTTCCAGCTGCAGGGGATGCCAGGGGCAGAGACAGCTGGAGACCCAAAGGAGAGCAGGAGGTGGGGGCACTTGGGGCAAGGGAGCACTGCAGAAGGTGCCCTCCAGAGAAGTCCTTTGGAACTCCCAGGCCACTTCACTGCAAATTCCGGTTTTAATCCTTTATTAGAAACCATGCAAACTTTAATACAAAAAATACAAGTGCAATAAGATAAGAATCTGTGTCAATACATTTCCTGGGATTTCTCAGCATTGCAGCTACCCCTTGACTGTAGACTGGGCCCTGCTGAGATGCCCCAGACAGGCTGGCTTGGCCGCCTCTCCAGTCTGCCTGCAGGTGGGATGGCCTCAGTCTCAGACCTGACTCCCCACTGTCACACAAGTTCTGGACAAAGAAGGCCTGAGCACCCAAGGCCTGCTAGAGGAACGTGAGCAGTAAGGCCCTTTCCTGTTCCTGCAGCCCTGCCCTGTGTTCCACATCCCAGGGAATGAGACAGAGATGCCAACCAGCCTCTTGGTTAGAAAAGCAGCAAACACACAATGCCACCACGACCAGGCCACACTGAGCGGCCCCTCACGTGCCTGACTGGTTCATCAGGCCGCAGCCCCTGCACACCTTGCTTTCCTGCCCATACACCTCCGGGCTGCCAGGCTGCCCACAGCAGGGCAGCCCACCCCCCACCCACCGATGCCCGACATCCTCCTGGGTGGAGGCTTAAGGACCTTCCCCCATTTCCTTCTACACCTGCTGAGGACTTTCAGAGACATGGCTTCAACCTGCAAAACTACTCCACCAGTTTCTAGGTTATTAGAAGAAAAATAAAACTAGAGAATGCGTGGGAGCAGCTGGGCAGGCACAGTAAGCAGTGGGGACAGGCAGCACTGCCCTAACCTGGGGCAGGGCAGCGCGTGCCATGCTGGGCTCCAGGGGACATAGTCGGCACTTGACCGTCACACGGACTCCACCTCCACTCTTCCTCCAGGTGGACCCAGGGAGCAGGGGGTATGTCAGTTTCTTCAGGGTTTGGTCCAAAAATAACCAAACAGAGGAGGCTGGAATCTGCGCCCCCTCCCCCCAGTCCCCTTAAATGCCAACTTAGCTCCACCCTCCAAACCCCTCCCAATCTCCACGGAGCAGTGGCAAGGTGATGGCGACGGTGTGGGAGCAGAGCAGGGAGTGGCCTGGGGCAGAGTGGAGGGAGCTATGGGGGGTGGGGGCTGCTGCTGCTGCTGCTGCTGCTGCTGCTGCCCTGGGCAAGCGTGGCAGGAGGGAAGGGGGCCTGAAGGGCGGCTCGGCACCCAAGCGCTCCTAGGTCTAGTGGACAGCCCGGGAAAGGGGACCAAGAGCCCGGGAGCCCGAGCTGGGGCCGCCAGGGAAGTGGGGAGGGCGGGAGACAATGTCGGCCCCATGGTCGGTGCGGGCCCTGGCGTTTGCCCGGAACGTCAGCCTGTAGGTCTCAATCTGCAGTGACACGGGAGGAGGGAAGGGAGAGGGTGACGCAGGAGACAAGAGGGGGAACACAGGGGAGACGGAAGACGAGACCAGAATGTCATCATTAGATGCCTGGAAAATAAAAGGTTACTTTGTTAAAATTGAGGCCACACTCTTCTCAGAAAACAAAGGAGTTTCAGTTTGCGGCCAGTGGCAGGGCCCCTGGCTGGCCCTCAGGCCGAGCCCAGCCACTTACTTGTCTCCTGGATCTGGCTGTCCAAGGTCTGGGCCTCCCTTTGGTCACCACCCCCTGACAGGGTGGTGTGGCCACTGAGGCCGCTGGCTGAAGTGGGGTTGCCAGCTTCAGGCGCTGCCTCAGAGATGGCCGGCTCCTCCCCAGCAGGGGGGCCCGGGCACGGAGGGGCCTCGCTGCCACCGCCCTCAGTCTACAATGAAACAGTGGGGGAGACAATGCAGGGTCAGTTGGGGAGGGAGTGAGATGGGTGATGGTGGTGGGTTTCACACAGAGCCCCCACCCCACTGCCCCAGCACAGTCAACCTGCAGAACCAGGCCCAGGCAGCCCCAGCCCCTGCCCCTGGCCGTGCCACCCACTCCCGAGGCTGTGTGAAGCCCCTCTGAAGTCAGAGGTGCTGACCCCTCCACAGGCTAATTCCAGGAATTAGAGGAATCAGGACAGTGACAGCCAACACAGGCGCTGATCCGGTCACATGCTGTGGGCCCGGCCTGGGCGGCAGGGACAACGGTGGTGACCTGCACCTTGGAGCTTCCATGAGCTCCGCCCTGCTTCCACACACGGCACATGTGACAGGGGTCCTCACAACTCAGGGAGTCCTCCTTGCCCACTCACAGCTTTGGAAATGCCCCAGACACGGGGGACTGTTGTGTGCTGGGCCCTGGTTTGGAGCCCAGAGGCACAGGGGAGGCAGGGAGATGTCCAAGGAGGTAGGACCCAAGGAGACCTCAGGGGCCTGGAGGGCTTCTCAGGAGGAGGACATCCAGGGACACTGAGCAGAAGAGAAAGGGTAATAGTGGGAGCCTCTGGTAACCTGGAGCACCTGCATCCCACAATGGCCCAGAGTGACCAAAGAACCTCGAGGGTAGGTTTTAATCAGAAAAGAGAAAGAAAAAGGCCTCTGTACTAGAACAATAATTCCAGAAATTTAAATAAAGACAGGGAGAAAATACAAACACAGAAAAGAACTCAGGACTTTTGGTGAGGAAAGCCTAGGTGTGAATCCTGGTCTGTACCTGCCTGGAGGTGGCTTTGCAGAAAAAGGGCTAAAAAGCAGCTCAGGCCCTGCTGAGACAGACTCCAGTCAGAACACGTGAATATGGTGTCCTCACGAGATGGGAATAAGAGAGCCTGGGACAGCCAGGAGCCCCGAGATGTGCATGGGAGAGACCAGCACTGAGTCAGTGCAGTAGCAGAAGATGAGCAGGAGGACTGGGTGGGCAGCTGCTCTCGTCCCCTCTCGCGGTGCCCTGTCCTTGAGCAGTGACAGAATCCTCACACTGGGAAGCTGCAAGGTGGTCACATGGGTCCCCGACCCACCCATGACTCGGCACAAAGGATGGACAGCATCTTGGCACACAGAGGGTCTCAGGGTGCTGTGGAAGCAGGGAAGGGGGAAGAAGGAAGGGAAGGAGAGGCCCAGCCAGCAGCCAGCAGCCAGCACAGGAAGTTCTGTGGCCCGAGACCCCTCTCAGTCCCAAGCAGGGTCGGCCAGGGGCAGGCCATCAGGAGGTAGCAGCCAGAGGGCAGCGTCAGGCCCAAAGTGGCTGGCAATTGAAAATGTACTGGGCCAGGAGTGGGGCTTCCACCATGTGACCGTGATGTGGCACCCACTCATCTCATGGTCAACTGTGCTGTGGCCCGCAGTGCCTTGGAAACTGGCAGGGAGGGGCTCCACAAGGCAGGCCCTGGCTCTCAGGGGCAAGCTGTCTCCAGCAGGCAGGTCAGAGTCGGCAGACAAGAGCTGGCTGGCTGGGGGCCTCTTCACCTCTCCTGCCTCACTCAGGACTGATGAGGGATGATGGGAAGACAGCTGTGGGCGTGGTCAGGACAGGACTCTTGAGGAGACTTGAGGGGCGGTGACAGGTGCCTCCCTTCTGGGACCTGATCTTGGCTGGACAGTCCCCACCCCACCCCCCAGCTATGTCCCACTGATACCTTCACAGCGCCTCCCGCAGGCAGGTGGCCCACATTATCGAGGGATCCCACCTTTGCCTGGGCCTTCTCCTTGAAGTTCAGCTTCTGACTTTCAATCTTGACATCTCCTCCACCTGGAGCCAAAAAGGAACTGGTCACTGAGGGCAGCAAAGAAACAACCCAGCAGGCAAAGCCAGGAGCCTAGAACCGAAATCTAAACTTCATCAAAGCCTGGCTGCACGCCCCGTCCAAGATTGGGGACAACATAACCTGCCCGAGGCTGCCCCTGCAGACAAATGAGGCACTGGTACATGTACTGGTGCAAACAGGGCTGCTCGTGTCAAATCCAGCCACCGCTATCTGGGGCCGGCACGGCATGAAGCCCGTAGGAGTGCCGAGGTGAGCAGATGCTCTGACTCCCGTGGCAGCACAGCCTCACAGGATCCCTGCCAACGCCCTGGCAGTCAGGGTCATGACCCATGTTTCACAGCTGCTAAAACTGGTACCAGAAAAAACGAAGGGATCTGCCTGACATGCCACCAAGCTAGTGAGTGACAGGGACAGGGTGTGACCCTCACCTGTCAGTCTCTAAACCAAATCACACTGGGGTGAACAGAGGGATGGCAACGGACCGAGAGCCGAGGACGACACACCCAGGGCAGGCTGCAGCATCCTGGATGGGGACGAGGGCAGTCTCCAGAGCTCACGGGTCAGGCTGCTGTCCCTGCGGTCTGGCTTCCCTTGGAGCTGTCCCAGTTCACATGACAAAGCTCAACACCCAGCTCCTGGCTCCACTCTGCAGGTGCCCTACACACTGGAGTTCGAGGCCTGGCCCAAAGCAGACATGAAGGTGCTCGCTGTTGCCAGGGAAGGAGGTGCTTCCCAGATGACAGGGGAAATGAAGGCTACCTAAGGACCAAAGTGTATTGATCCTTTAAAAGGAACGCATTTGGGCCGGCGCCGCGGCTCACTAGGCTAATCCTCCGCCTAGCGGCGCCGGCACACCGGGTTCTAGTCCCAGTTGGGGCGCCGGATTCTGTCCTGGTTGCCCCTCTTCCAGGCCAGCTCTCTGCTGTGGCCAGGGAGTGCAGTGGAGGATGGCCCAGGTGCTTGGGCCCTGCACCCCATGGGAGACCAGGAAAAGCACCTGGCTCCTGGCTCCTGCCATCGGATCAGCGCGGTGCGCCAGCCGCGGCCATTGGAGGGTGAACCAACGGCAAAGGAAGACCTTTCTCTCTGTCTCTCTCTCTCACTGTCCACTCCGCCCGTCAAAAAAATAAAAAATAAAAAAAAATAAAAAAAATAAAAAAAAATAAAAGGAACACATTTGAATACAGAGCACACTCTCATCTCACCTCCACTGGCCTGTGGCGCTGACTGGGGACAGCTGCCCTGCCCTCCAGCGTGCCTGCTGCTGCAGCAATACCCTCCTGCCCCATCTGCTGCAGCCCAGGCCACAGTCCAGGCTCTGCGGCACAAGGCCTGAGGTGCTTAGTAGGACACGGAGCACCACTGCTGGAGGGCAGGCTCTCCTCTCCTGAATCCCATAGACACGACCCACCCCTCTCTCTACAGAGTGACATGGGTGCTCAGCCTACAGCACACCTCTTCCCCCAGGCCCAGACCAACAGGGCAAGGTGGGCAGCAGAGAATGCGCAGGTAGCTTTACAAATAGGCCAGCACCCGGAATTCCTCTCTCGGACAGCGCCCATACTGTGTTTTCTGAACTGCTTGTCCGGGGTATGAGGCAGCTTGCTGAGCTCTAAGGGACGCGCGGGGCCCAGGTGGAAACGCTCTGCAGCCAGCCCGTGGTGGGCACCTGCAGCTGGGGAGGTCACTCACCAGGCTTGTGCTTAATGTTAGCCTTGGACCCACACTTGGAGGAGACCTTAGAGATGTCTACTTTCTTGTTCTGAATCTGAACCTAGGGAAGAACATGAAGAAATTACTGTCTGGGTGGCAGGGAGAAGGGTATGGAGAAAAAGAGAAAAGTGTGAGGGGCCAAACCCACACAACCTGCATCTCTGTGCTCAACTTCCCTCTCGCTCCGCAAGCCCCAACACCTCAGTTTGTTCAAGCTCAGGACCATCGCCCAGAGCTTTCAAGAGCTCCCGATCCATCCTAAGCCTGTTCTTTGCCTGTGACCCCACCTCCAGCCAGACCAAGCCACTGCTGCCCAAGTGGCCACAGCCTCTCCCTCCACACTCTGGGCAGGCACCCTCCATACGGCTCTTCCATCTCTGCTCTGGGTCTCAAAGCCAATACCAAGGCTCTCCTGAAATGCACATTTTGTCCCACCTTAAAATCCTATCCATTAGCTCCTTGCCCATTTCCCTTCATAGCTGACAGCACAGCCATGCGGAATTTTCTACAAGATGGAAAATGGCAACAAAAGGAGGGGGCACATAATGATCTAACCTGTAATAACACACACACATCCACCCATATTTCTAGTAGTGAACATGAAGAATATTACTGATTTTTCACTAGACATGGCAGCAGTAACTGTGAATCCAAGCTTCAAAGCCCAGAACTCAGGTGCACCTGGCCCAAGACTCAGACCGCCTGAAGGCAGGCCCTGCTGTTCCGCTGCAGCGCACGAGCACCAGGCTTGGCAACTCCCCTGACGGCTCACATGCGTGTCTGTCTGGTGCCTCCCGCACGGGACACTCGGGCTTCACTTGGGGAGCTCTGGTCATTGGCACAGTGAACTTGGTTGTGTGTTTACCGTCCATCATGTGATTCATCCCCTCATTTGCCCCTGAGTATTTCCCAATCCCACTGGGTAAGCACAGTGGGTACAACCGAATGTGTTCAGGCCTGGAGCTCTGTCTGCACTGACAGGGCCTCATCAGCTGTGTGCTCCCCTCAGGGTCTTCCTTTAGCTGACCTTCTGTCTACAACAGGCAAAAAGGCAAAAGAATGAAGGGCCCTACAAGACTGGTGATCCACGGTGAACCACGGGGGAGACACGGGGCTGGAGACTCATTTGGTTGGGTGTCCTCTACACTTGGCCCTGCTTCTGTGCTGCCCAACAAATGTTCAAGAATGTCACTCATCTAGCACCTTTGGAAACCCACCCTGGTGTGAGGATGGCCTGGGTGCTTCTGTACCTGCTACCCACACGAGTTCCTGGCTCCTGGCTTTGAGGGCATTTGCAAAGTGACTCAATGGACAGAAAATCCCTGTCTATCCTTGTCTATGTTGTTCTGCCATTCTAACAAATAAAAAAATAACAATAATAATAATAATCTGATTTGAAATAATAATAATAATAATAATCTGATTTAAAAGATGGGAGACTTGCAGAGTAAAAGCCACTTAAGATTAAAAGACATGGATCCATGGGGCTAGTGCTGTGGCGTAACAGGTGAAGCTGCCAACTGCAGTGTTGGCATCCCATATGGGTGCCAGTTCGAGTCCCAGCTGCTCCACTTCCAATCCAGCTCTCTGTTGTGGCCTGGGAAGGCAGTGGAGGATGGTCCAAGTGCTTGTGCGCCAGTACCTGCGTGGGAGACCTGGACGAGGCTCCTGCCCCCTGGCTTCAGATTGGCTCAGCTCCAGCCATCGCAGCCAATTGGGGAGTAAACCAGCAGATGGAGGACCTCTCTCTCTCTCTCTCTCTCTCTGCCTCTCCTTCTCTGTGTAACTCTTTCAAATAAAATAAATAAATCTTAAAAAAAAAGAGATGGATCCTGGGACTGCCACTGTGGTGCAGCTGGTAAAGCATCCACCTGTGACGCTTGTATCCCATATGGGCACTGGTTTGAGACAGGCTGCTCCACTTTTTCTAATGCATCTGGGAAAGCAGGAGAAGATGGCTCAAGACCTTGGGCCCCTGCACCCACTTGGGAGACCCAGAGGAGGCTCCAAGCTCCTGGCTTCAGCCTGGCCCAGCCCCAGCCATTGTGGCCATTTAGGGAGTGAAATCATCACATGGAAGACCTCTCTCCCTCTCTCTCTGTGACTCTGCCTTTCAAACAGATAAATAAATAAATCTTTTTAAAAATTAATCTTATATATCATTAGTATATAAACATATAGTAATGTATGTATTCACCAATCTATATTTTAAAGATTCCTTATCTTTTAAACTTATCAAAGTACTTCACAAAGTTCACAGAAATGCATTATTATAAACAAAATACATAATTCTTTTTTTTTCTAAAAGCAGAATATCCAGGTCTCTTCCAACCCTTGGAGCTGGGATTCTCTCTCTCTCTCTCTCCTTTTTTTATTTTAAAGATTTATTTATTGGGGCCGGCGCTGTGGCGCAGTGGGTTAACACCCTGGCCTGAAGCACCGGCATCCCATATGGATACCGGTTCTAGTCCAGGCTGCTTCTCTTCTGATCCAGCTCTCTGCTATGGCCTGGGAAAGCAGTGGAAGATGGCCCAAGTCCTTGGGCCCCTGCACCCGCGTGGGAGACCTGGAGGAAGCTCCTGGTTCCTGGCTTCAGATTGCAGAGGCAGAGAGAGAGAGAGAGAGAGGTCTTCCATCTGCTGGTTCACTCCCCAGATGGCTGCAACGGCCGGAGCTAGGCTGATCCGAAGCTAGGAGCCAGGAGCTTCTTCCAAGTCTCCCACATGGATGCAGGGGCCCAAGCACTTGAGCCATCTTCCTTCTTTCCTTCTTTCTTCCCTTCTTTCTTCCCTTCCCTTCCCTTTTCCTCCCCTCCCTTCCCTTCCCTTCCCCTCCCTCCCTCCCTCTCTCCCTTTCTTTTCTTTCTTTCTTATTTTATTTTATTTTATTTTTTTGACAGGCAGAGTGGACAGTGAGAGAGAGAGAGAGAGACAAAGGTCTTCCTTTGCCGTTGGTTCACCCTCCAATGGCTGCCGCGGGTGGCGTGCTGCGGCCAGTGCACCGCGCTGATCTGATGGCAGGAGCCAGGTACTTATCCTGGTCTCCCCATGGGGTGCAGGGCCCAAGGACTTGGGCCATCCTCCACTGTACTCCCTGGCCACAGCAGAGAGCTGGCCTGGAAGAGGGGCAACCGGGACAGAATCCAGTGCCCCGACCGGGACTAGAACCCGGTGTGCCGGCGCCGCAAGGTGGAGGATTAGCCTAGTGAGCTGCGGCGCCAGCCTTGAGCCATCTTCTATGGCTTTCCCAGGCCACAATAGAGAGCTGGATTGGAAGTGGAGCAGATGTGACTTGAACCAGCGCCCATATGGGATGGTGGCACTAGTAGCGGCAGCATTATCTGCTGCTCCACAGCGCAAGCCTGTACATAATTCTTAAAACTTTTTCTAACAAAAATTTATTTTACATTCAATTTTCTATGAAATTATTTTTTTAAAGACATTTATTTATTTGAAAGGCAGAGCTACATAGAGAAAGGGAGATACAAAGAGATCTTCCATCTGCTGCTCCATCCAGGTCTCCGACAAGGGAGCCAGAGGCCCAACTGCTCAGGCCACCTTCCAATACATTCCCAGGCACATCAGCAGGGGGCTGGATCAGAAATGATGCAGGGATGGTGCAGTGGCTTAGTGGTAAAGCTACTACCTGCAGAGCCAGCATCTCATATAGGTGCTGGTTCAAGTCCCAGCTGCTTCACTTCCAATCCAGCTCACTGCGAATGAGCGAGGGAAAGCATTCGAAGATGGCCCAAGTCCTTGGGCCCCTGCACCCATGACAGACTCGGAAGAAGCTCCTGGCTTCCGTCTGGCCCAGCTCCAACTACTGTGGCCATTTGGAGAGTGAACCAGCTGATGGAAGTCACCTCCTCACCCTTCTCTCTCTCTGTGTAACTCTGCTTTTCAAATAAATAAGGAAAGGAAAGGAAAGGAAAGGGAAGGGAAGGGGAAGGGGAAGGGGAAGGGGAAGGGGAAGGGGAGAGGAGGGGAGAGGAGGGGAGAGGAGGGGAGAGGAGGGGAGAGGAGGGGAGAGGAGGGGAAGGAAAAAGGAAAGGAAAGGGAAAGGAAGGAAAGAAGGAACTAGGACTCGACTTGATATCCCTATGGGGTGCTAGTGTTGCAGGTACCACAATGTGTAACTCTTTTTCTTTTCTTTCTTCCTTTTTTTTTTTGACAGGCAGAGTTATAGACAGTGAGAGAGAGACAGAGACAGAGAAAGGTCTTCCTTCCGTTGGTTCACTCCCCAAATGGCCGCTATGGCCCAGCCGGCGCTGCGCCGATCCGAAGGCAGGAGCCAGGTGCTTCTTCCTGGTCTCCCATGCAGGTGTAGGGCCCAAGCACTTGGGTCATCCTCCACTGCACTCCCGGGCCACAGCAGAGAGCTGGAGAGAACCCGGCACCCATATGGGATGACAGCGCTGCAGGCGGAGGATTAACCAAGTGAGCCATGGCGCCGGCTCCAACTCTGACTTTCAAATAAATAAATCTTTAACCAAAAAAAAAAAAAAAAAAAAGATTAATTAAAAAAAAAAAAAAAAGCCACAACAACCCAAGATTGGGCATAACAATGGTGAGTAAGCTGGATAAAAGGCATACTGAGTTCATCTTACTGTTTTCTCTGTTTTTCTATGTGTGAAAATTCCCACAATAAGAGTTTAAGAAAGTATAAGTGGGCCCCACTCACTTAACAAGTGCTGCTCTCTTGGACACAGCCATCCCCTTAGGCAGGCACTGCCGCACGGCGTCCCCACCCCCTCCTCCCCTGGCCACCTGCAGCCACTCCCATTCAGGGCTCAGGGAAGCACATGCTGCTTCTCTAGCTGAAAATGTGTACTTCCTCTCAGCTGGCCCAGTGTCCAATCCTCTCCTCAGTGACAGCCGACAGCTAGCAGGAGCCGTGCCCATCCCTGTCTGGCCTCTTAGTACACAAGCAAGGAGCGTGCCAGCCCCCTCTCTTGTGCCTTTCCCAGGCAGCTCCGCTGGTGTGTGAGCACCTGCAGACACCAACACATGCTGAAAGGAGCTGCCAACAGGTCTTAGCCACCCTGCAAGGGCAACAGAATCAAAACCACCACGAAACCTACAAGTGGGCCCAGCTACCGAAGAAGCCATTATTACGTTGGACCAACTGACCCACCCCTGCTCTTCTCTCTCCTGAGGGCTTCCTGGCTCTCATCAAGAGGCTGCCCCTGTGTGTGTGTTGGGGGGGGGGGGATGCTTCGGGAACACTAATTAGCACCCAGCTCCACGCCTCACATCCAGCGCTAACTGCAAAGCTCCTGGGTGTGTGGGGGTGGGGTAGGACTGGCAGCCGCTCAGTCTGCACAGCAGGCCCCTGACTTAAACAGTCCTCTCCTTTCTTGTTTTTAAACATTTTTTTAAAAAAAGATTTTATATACTTGAAAAGCACAGCAACAGAGAAAGGGAGAGATACAGAGAGATGTTTCATCTGCTGGTTCATTCCAAAATGGCTGGGGCTAGGCCACACTGAAGCTAGGGCCAAGGAGCTTCTTTCAGGTCTACCCACGTGGGTACAGGGACCCAAGCACTTAAGTCACTTCTGCTGCTTTCCCAGGAGCATTAGCAGGAAGTGGAATTGGAAATGGAGCAGCTAGGACTCAAACCAGTACCCAGATGGGATGCCAGGGCTGCAGGCCACAGTTTAACCCACTACATCACGCAGCCATTTGGCACAGTGGTTCAGACACTGCTTGGGACACCTGCATCCTCTATTAGCGTGCCTGTATTTGAGTCCCTCCTCTACTTCCAGTCCAGCTTCTTCTGAGTGCACAGCCTGCAAAGCATCAGAAGATGGCCCAAGTACTTGGGTCCCTGCCACCCACAGGGAGGCTGGAATGGAGTTCCTGGCTCCCGGCTTTGGACAATGTCCAGGCATTTGTGGAAATATGAGAAATAAACCAGCAGAAGGAAGATCTCTGTCCACATCTGTCTCTGTGTTCCAAATAAATAAATAAAATTAAAAAAAAAAAAAGTGTTGCTCTCTTCAGGTGATCCCACATCAGGCTCGCTTATGTCTGGCTGGACACACACCCTCTTGCTGAGTGCAGAGAATGCCATTTCTGCCCAGGCCAAGAAGGGCTGCTCGGATTCATGGAGGCGATCAGGAAGGAAGGACAGGAATGGTGCAGGGCATGCGGAAGGGATGCTGGACGGCCAGTCCTCACGACAGAGCTGCTAGGGTGGTCACAGCCCTGGGCAGAATGGCCTGATCACTGAGTGAATGGGGGTGGGGAATTGGGGGACAAGGTTCAAACATAAAAAAAGGAACAATGAAGAAAAGGTAACAAGAACACCCTAGTTCGGGATAGCAGGAGGAGGCAAACGGACCCAAGAGAAACTAAGTCAGGACAGGCTCTCTGTCCCTGAGGGCTGGAAAGAGAAGCAGTGGGGTTGTGGATGGCTCAGCAGAGCCCCGCCCAGGGCTGCAGAGTACTGCTTGCCTGGCCCACAGTCACAGGGACAAGAGGAAAATGCACAGGGTATGCTGGACACACCAAGTGACACTGATGAGACTCTGCTGGTCTCGCCCCAGACCAGAACTCTGCTGTGAGCTGTGTTCCCAACAGACTGGACAGCCGGCACAAACAGCACAAGGGTTTTTGGATGGAAGTGGGGAGGTGACGGATAAACAAGTGGAAAAAAAAAAAAAAAAGAAATGGGGGAAAAGGGAGAAAATAGGGAGAGAACAAAAGAAAGACCAGAAAAAGGAGAAAGAGAAGCAAGGAGGGACCAGTGTTGTGGCACAACAGATTAAGCCACTGCTTAATGGCATCTCGTTGCAGTGCTGGTTTGAGTCTTGTCTGCTCTGCTTCCTGCTACGGCATCTGGGAAGGCAGGGAAAGATGGCCCAAGTACTTGGGCTCCTGCTACCCATGTGGGAGACCCGGATGCAGTTCCCTAGACAGACCTGGCTGTTGTGACCACTTGGGAGTGAACTAGCCACAGCAGATCTCTCTGTCACTCTGCCTTTCAGATAAATACATGCACAAGTCTTCAAGAAAGAGGGGAGGGGAGAATAACAAGAATGTAGGGAAGTAAGTCATGGGTAGGGAGAGAAAGATGAATTCTCTGATATGATGGTAGCGATGCAAGGATGAGCTTGGACAGAGCCAGGCATCTGTCTCTGAATAGACTCCGCCGGTGCCACATGGGCATGCAGACAGATATGTGTATCCCAAGAATGGACTCAAGACAGGCCTCGGCCTGCTGCTGACTGCCTGCCCTCTCACTAGGTCTCAACACAGCTGGGAAAACCCTAAGCTTCCCACCCATGTGGGTGAGAGCAGGCAGTATCCTCAGGCTGCTGTCTAGGGACTCTGTAGAAACACCTAGTCCAAATGCATCCAGCACCAAGGTCCCCCTCACTTTGCCAGACTGCTTTTCAGATGGCCCACTTCCCAGTGCACCCCTCAGTGGACTATGCCTTGGAGGCCAGCTGGCCAGAGCTTATACTTACATTACCACCTCCAGGGACATGCTTAATATTGTCCTTGGAACCACACTTGGACTGAATATGGCTGTAGCTCACTTTTTTCGAGACTATCTGGACCTGGAGTTTTAGAGAACAGAAAAAAACAACACAAAGGGAGGACTGGTTAGATCTGACACAGGACAGGTAGACAGTCCACACATGACCACAATGACCAACAAAGGGTGTTGTTAAACCTCCACCCCCACCGTCCACAGTGTAAGTGTAGAAGAAACAGGAAAGGGAATTTGAAAGAGCAAGAAAAGGAGTGAAACAAGACAAATACCACAAGGACAGGAGGAGTTGTGCACAGGTGCTCTATGGGTGTCATCACTGCTCCCTGCAAGACCCAGACACACACTCAGGCGCAGCCCCACCTTTTCATCTTGCCCCGTCCCCATGAGCTGAGCAAAGCATCCTTGGTTCCTTTCTGCAAGGGTTCTCGATCATCTGGGCCTGTGCTCACCTAAAGAGGGCAACTCTCTAGAGACTAGGGCCTGGCAATGCTGCAGCCAGACCCACTCTTGGAAGCCAAGGCTGCTCTGACAGGTACTGGACAGCTGCCAACAGCACACAAATCTGACACTGAGAGGAAAAAAAGGACGTTGCTCATGTACAATGCAAATGGACACAGAGTCATGGGACGCCACTGCAGGTACAGACCCAGCCCACAGCAACTTCCAAAGGGCTCAGTCAGTGCATGGCCTGAGCAAGTACAACACAGGAAACCAGAAGTGCACCTAGACCTATTTTTGATTCGAGGGTAAAATAATTTCTTGAGCCAAATCCCACGCCCTTTGAGTTTCACAGGAAAGAGAAGAGATGCTGGGTAGAGCTGCAATGACGCATAATCACACCGTACTGTATACTAACACTCTCCTGGAGCTGAGCAACTCAACTGGAACCTGGCTGGAACCAACAATTCTCCTTGCACCACCTGCAGAAGGAACAGTTAAGAGCTTCCCTCCTTCCTTTGCTTCAGGGCTAGAGGCTCTCTGCCAATGATGCTGCCCCAGACCAAAGAGTTCTCAGCTGTAAAGAACGCAGCCTTAGAAAGGTTAACTTGTTGCATTCCTTATCATTTCTTGCCTTTTTTGCAACTTGAATGATGAATAATTGGGTAGCAAATCACTTCCTAATGAGGCTTGGTCTGAGCCAAAGGCCTCCTGGCCCTCTAGTGATCACTAGAAGCTACAGAGCTCCTTCTTCAGCCCCACCCCCACACTGTGCCAGCTCCTTGGGCAGAGACCTGCTATCCTGGTCCCTAAGGGTTAGTTCAGGCTTCTCTGGCAGCTCCTGATCAGAGGCCCACCTGCCGGCCACAGCTGACGAAAGAGGGTGCCCCACACAGGCAGGAGCCCAACTCCATGGTGTGAAAGCAAAAGGAAAGAACCCAGAGTTCCAGCTCCCCCTGCCTTCCAGCTGACGCTACATTCCCCACACTGAGTGTGTTTTTACTGGGAATGAGCATCCTCACCCTCGGTGAAGAGGTGGCCTAGGGACCAGGGCAAGCTCTCTCCACACAGCTGCATCAGGAGAGGGGTCTTCTGGTTCAGATTAGATGATGGACAAGAACCACTGCCATGTCTTAGGAGGAAGAACCTGAATGTGCACATGGGGTGGGATTCAGATCAAGGTCAGTGTGAAGGCAGTGACTGAGAGTTTTTGGATCCATTTTATCTAGCTCAATATTCACCAAAGGGTTAATGGGCTCCCAAATCTATAAACTTTCAGGGTTAATAAAAAAAATTCCCAATGGCTGAGCCATCAAGCACAGAGAAGGGAACACAGGGAAGAAGTAGAAACCGGTTAAGGGCAGGAAAAAAGTGCCATAGAGGGGAAAGTGACTCAGGCTGGAAGAGGAATTTTTACCATCTTTTACCTTCCAGAGGTTAAATCTAAATAAAACTCACTTTCCCAGCAGGCGGTTTCTGTGCACTCGCAATTGGGCCGGCTGCTTTAGTGACTGCACTGGGTTCAGGCTTTCGAGCCGTAGCAGCTGCCTCTGTTTTTTTCTCTACTTTGGCCTGGATGGAGATAAAGGGAGGGCAAATTTCAAACCAAGAGGATGACAGCCCAATGCCAAGGAAGGAAGAAGGCTATGTAGGGGACTGGAGTCCAGGCCAGCCCACCAGACAGGAGCAGGTCATCTTTGCTTCTAGACACACATTTCCTGGGACAGACCAAGCTGGAGATCCTTGAGTGGAGGTCCACAGAGCGAGGAGCTGCAGATCAAATCCCTAGGCCAGGAGGAAGAGATCAGGACACAATTTACAGAGAACAGGCCCCAGGGAAGGCTGAGAAGACCAAATGGATACACCTGAGGCACCACCGCTTACCAAAAGCAACTCTGGGGCTCTCATCCCAGACCGGACCAATCTGTCACCAATGTCTTCAAATGTTCCAGGTTTTGGCCTTACTTTAACAGTTCTGGACAACCTAAGTATTCTGTCCTGGACAGCAGTGGTGAGGGTTTGATGCAGGAGATGACATGGGTACTAGTGCAGGGACTTGAACCCTTTCCAATGGACTTTTGCCACCATCATTCCACACAGAGTCCCCATAGCTGCTAACAATAATTCTAGGACTGACGCACACTCAGATAGTTGTAAAGCAAACACTGTGGCCTGCTACGTGTTTCTCCATCACTGGCTAGTCCTGTGGTTCAGGAAAACCAGGGGCTCACAGCACAACTCATTCTGGCCACAAGAGGACAGTCCTCGTTCAGACACTCTCTACCCAAATCACATATGGTAGGACTAAGAGGTGTTCACCTTCTGCCTGTTCTGACAGTCACTGTGTGGGTTCAGAACATGAAACACCGGGTTCACGTCCACTGTCTCTTACACTGTAGAGTCTCTGAGGCCTCCTCTGTTTCTTTTGTAAAGTAGAAGAATCCTTTTGCCATCAAACAAAAACATGAATGCAAACCCCAACAACATACAAAACAGGAACTGCTCTTGACTGAGACGGTGAGAGAAAGCCAGGAGCTCAAGCCATCCTTTCCCAGTTGCTGAGGCACAAAGCTCAGGTGGAAATTTCCCGCCATCCAGTCTCGTATCCTAACAACCTCCATTCTTTGGTGGCTACATGTGGCAAGTGAAGAGGCCAGAGCTAGCATGCCAAGGACCCCAAGTCCCCTGGACCTACCCGGCCTCCTCCAGGCTGATGCTTGATATTTTCCGTGGAGCCCACCTTGGAGCGGACATTCTTCAGATCGGGGGCAGAAGCAGTAGTGGACAGGCGGCTCAGCCTAGGGGCAGAGGAGCTGGGCTTGGCAGAGGTGGGCTTCTTGTCAAGAGAAGGAGTCACGGAAGGCCGGGGTGCTGTGGGGATGGTCTTGACTCGAGTGGGAGCCATTCCTGCTGGGGGTGCTCCAGTGAGAGTGGTACTTTTCTTCACAGAACTGGTGGAGGTGCTCTTAGAACGACTCAAGTCCGCTGCAAAGGTAGAATGAGAGGTAGCATGGCTCAGGGGACAGAGAAAATGGAGCTCTTAAAGTCATGGAAAGTGAGGGCTCACGTTAGGGTTCCACAAAGGGGCAGAGCAGTGGCATTACCTGGTGCAGACTTTGCAGTCATCTTCCTGACGTCTACAGTTTTCCCCTCAGTCTTGATGGCTGCAGAGACACACACTGATGATTAACCTGACACTGAACAAACTGACCTGCCGGACCACTCTCCCAATGCTGGGATTCATCATTCATTCAACAATTACATAATGTCCACTTTGAAACAGGCACTGTGCTAGTCTTCGGAGGTGGAGCACCAACTGAGTCACATATAGGCTGCCCTTCACTAGCAGAACCAGGCTGGGTACTGTGCCTTTTTCTCGCCTACAATCCTGACAATGCCTTCTACATGGCCTCAGAAGTAGGCCATCAATACACGTTCATGTTATTGAATTGCCTGTGTCATGTAACCTATGACCACAATGTGCTAGGTGCCACAGAGTCACAGACAGTAAGAGGAAACTCATACATCCCCTTCACTCAAGACTCTTCTGAGGGCCGGCACTGTGGCCTAGCAGGTAAAGCTGCCACCTGTGGTACCGGCACCCCATACAGGCACCAGGTTCAAGTTCTGGATGTTCTACTTCCGATCCAGCTCCCTGTTAATGCACTGGGGAAAGCAGTGGAAGATGGCCCAAGTGCTTGGGCAAGTGCACCCACGTGGGAGACCTGCAAGAAGCTCCTGGCTTTGGGTAGGCCCACTTTGGCTGTTATGGCCATTTTGGGAAGTGAACATGTGGATGTAAGACCCCCACCCCATAACTGTGTTTAAAAATAAAAATATTTGCTGGCGCCGCGGCTCACTAGGCTAATCCTCTGCCTAGCGGCGCCGGCACACCGGGTTCTAGTCCCGGTCGGGGCGCCGGATTCTGTCCCGGTTGCCCCTCTTCCAGGCCAGCTCTCTGCTGTGGCCAGGGAGTGCAGTGGAGGATGGCCCAGGAGCTTGGGCCCTGCACCCCATGGGAGACCAGGAAAAGCACCTGGCTCCTGGCTCCTGCCACCGGATCAGCGCGGTGTGCCGGCCCGCAGCGCGTCGGCCACGGCGGCCATTGGAGGGTGAACCAACGGCAAAGGAAGACCTTTCTCTCTCTCTCTCTCTCTCACTGTCCACTCTGCCTGTCAAAAAAAAAAAAAATTTAAAAAGGAAAAATAAAGAAGATTTTTCTGAATAAACACAATGCTAAGCTCACATGGAGACTAAGGTTTGCTCAATACTAGGCCAACCAGGCTTCTGCTGTTCAATGCATAAGCAGGTCTGCATACCTGCCGGGGATGCTGGCTAAAGCTATGGCTGGGACAAAGCCAAGGCCCCATAACTGCTAAGTGGCTCCCAGCGGAGGGAAGAATAGTCAATACTCACTAGTGGGCCTCTTAGGCAGAGGTGCTGGGGGGCTCTTAGTGCTTTGCCCAGCTGAAGCAGGAGTGGCAGGTGTTGTGGTTTTTGGAACAGTCTGGGTGCTCTTGGATCCAGGTCTCTGGGCTGGGGCAGAGGCCGGTTTGGTTGGGGATGTCCGCTTCTCAGCAGTCTTTGCCTCTGCAGTGGACTGAAAGTGGGAGGAAGAGCTGCAGGTCAGTAATATCCCAGAAATTCAGGCCAAATGAGGGTTCTATAGAGGCATGTAGCAGACAACAGGGGGTGCTACGGGTTAGGTGGCTACCAACAGCAAAATATCATGGCTCTAATAATAAAGTTCTCCAGACAGAGCCAGAAACTGGCTTTATAGAGGGCTGTATGATCTAGGGTTGGGAAATAGGAAGTTAAACCACCTCTCCCCAACCTGAATCTCTAAGAATACACAGCCCAGGAAAGGATGCAGATATCCTATCATAACCTACATAATGGCCCATGAAATGGATCAGACAAGGTTAAATAAACACAGGTAAAAAATCCAAAATTGTGTCCAGTCAGAGGCCGCTGTTTTTCTGGTTGATAACACACTCATAAAATACTGACCAAATTCAGGTCAGAAGTCTGGACTGCAACCCTAAGACCAGGGTCTCCCTCTGTGTGTTCTTAGACCACTGAGCCTCCCTGAGCTCTGTTTTTTCATCTGGATAAAAAGTCAGAAGAGGTCATTGCTGAGGCCCAGCTTTGATAGTATGGGATGCTGGGGAACAGAGGATGGGAAGCCAACAGCACAGGGATGATGAGAAGGGGCACGACTAACGACAGGGGCCACAAGGAGCGCCAGCCCCAAACCAGGGACTGAGAGCAGAAGGGGAGAAGTTTCTCAAGGGGAGCTAAGCTGCCTCCAGGTCATTCTAGTGTGAACTCTAAGGCTGGAATCAGGAAGCCTGGGTGTGCGGTCTCTCACATTTTCCACACTAGTACCATCCTTCAGACGACAAGCTGCTGGCCGCATCAAGCTGCAGAAACAGCCTGCACTCATACCCGGAGTTATTCTGCTGTTTCTCAGTTTGTATTTCCTCCCCTGCCAGAATCATAAATCTATTTATTTCTTTTTTCTGAACAGGTTTTTTTCTTCTCAGTTTGCTTCTATAAATCTTTCTACCGAAATAAGGACCAGAATGACATCATCAGACATTTTAGTTTCTATCAATCTCTCAAAATGTTTCCATCTGTTTCTCATCTACAGGACAACAACCATGATAGTTGTAATGCATATCCCCTCTCTAGCTTAGCTATATCTTAAGATGCTGCCTAAAGAGCTGTGTGGAAAAAAGCCACTGTGATGGTATCTCAGAAGTCTATGGAAAGATGGAGTTAAATGTTAAGTTTGTTTAAGTACAAATAACTCTGAAACTCATTTATAGTTTTTTCATAGTACGTATTTCCACAAACTTTCTGAAGACCGCTTGTCAAACGAGGGTTCACAGGACCCCTGAGTGCCAGCACTGGCCTCAGACCCAAACTCAAACACTGGCTCTGCCACTTGGCAGCATGGGTCCTTCAGAAGGTTATCTGATGGAGCTTAAGCTTCCTCTCTTAAGTAGAAAGGAAGAGACTGGTATCCTCCACATGAGGGGCTGAGCACCTCCCCTTCTCTTGCTACTCCCCTCCCCCTACTAGGAGCCAATGCTAAGTAAGCCTCAAGAAGAACCAACCACCATGGCTCCAATCACCTTCCCTGCACCCTCAGATTCAAAGAAACTGCTCTCTAAAGTTCAACAGAAGCAGCCAACTGGGTGAATGAGAGAAAGCTTTGAGATTTTATTAATCATAACCTCTAATGGGACTTCTTAGTTTCTTGGCCAGAATTTTCATCTAGACTACAATTCTTAGATCCCACTGCTTGCCTTTAAAAGGTTAAATTACAATACTGACATTTAACACAGGAAACTATTTCCCGCCGTGAATTTTAGGAGTACCATCAAGCTGACCTAAAGCCCCTTCTTAAATCAAACAAAATGTTAACAAAGGTAACCATGACCTCCACCTACCCTCTCCTCCTGGAACAATTCTATAAAGTTAATGCTGCTCCAAATGGGAAGTTTCCGGGCAATAATGCAGACCAGTAAGAGGCAGCCTAATGCCAAAAGCAAGGTGAGTTATTGCATGGTGCTGGAACATGCTGAGACCAGTTGGAATAGCTCACTTATACTGCTACTACGGTAATGGGTAAAATTCACTTCTGTAGGATGATTAATGAGAAAGACAAAGAACTGAAGTTGATGTAGGAATTATACTGAAAAAGCATATTTGATTAGTACATGGAGCAGTGAAACTGGTTAACAAGTGCTTCAGTAGGTTATGGGCAAGAACAGTGGAGACAGACAGAGGAACCAAAGTAGATGAAATATCGCCTCCAACCAGGGAAGGAAAAGGTAAAAAGAATAAAAGGGTTTCCGAGTGCTATGGCTGCCATCAAGGGGGCCCCAAACTGACTGTTCAAATTACGCTTCCCCTTGTCCCAATTCCACCTGTCTGATTCCACTGTCTGGTACCAACAAGAGTCTATCTGACACTCAGGGAAATTCTTCCCTGGTACTTGGGTGACTACTTACCTTCGGCTTCACGTCTCTTGCAGGTAAGATGGAAGGCCTGGCAGTGGTGGCAGCAGGGCGTTTGGGTGGGGCAGCTGGTACTAAGCCTGAAGCAAGGCTCATGGGTTTTTTATTCGTCCCACCAGTGGTGGTGGGAGCTGGCTGCTTAGGGAGAGAAGTGGGCTGTGTTTTGGCTTTCGATGTTGAAGTCTTTGCAGGTTGAGTGGTGGCCAAAGGCTTTAGGTTGGTTGTTGTTTTTTAATTTTTAATTTTAAATTTTTAAAGACCAACGTCAAACACACAGACAAGAATAAAAACAAATTAAAATAAAGTATAAATTGCACAATTCAAAGTAAAATTATAAGCAATGAGGATAGATGCAACTGAAAATTAGCACTTCTTTCTTCTGAGCTCAGAAAACAGTGAATTGACTCCAAGACGGATATAAAGAAAGTTAGGATTTTTTTTTCTTAATTACTATGCCACAAATTCCAGCAATTTGGCATCTGAAGATTTAAATTCAGTAACAGCTTTATATACTTAACTTTTGGTGGCTGCCGTAATTCTACACAGAAAATCCTCAGCAGGTGACTAAGCCATTACGACTTTAAGCCTGGGGTGGCAACACCAGCACATCCTAAGTGTGGCACCTGAACACTGCAGGAAGTGCCAGTATCTGAAGCTACAATCTACCTTCAAACTCGGCATTCCTTTTCATGAACACAGAATTCAGAATCGATTTCAGAGGACTTCTGCAATTGTCCTTTCTGTTGTCATTAAGGGAGGCTGTACAACCTCTACAGAACATTCTGACAGATACACAATAGGGTCAAATCAAAAATTTTCAAGTTTTGGGTTAGGCTACTGTGGTAAAATGGGAACATATGATACTTTCTAAGTACCTCCAAACTTGAAGACAGACTTATAACAGCTCAGAAAACAAGAAGTTTCACTCACGATTCAAGCAATAATAGAAAATACTGTTTTTTAAAAATAATCGCACTGGAAGATAATCAGCACTTGGGCACCTACCTTTGCCTTCTTCTCTGGGCTTGGTGGGAGCTCCTTGCTTGGTGGGGTGGTGATGTCATTTCCGGTCACACTCACAGCAGTCCGTCCTTCGTCTGGTCGGGTTATTCCTAAGTGGGGTGAGTGGGAATTATTCTAGGTGAATGCTTTTCATAACCATATTGAAAATGCAAGGCTTAGCAGAGACAGACCACTAACTAGCACCTCATTCCGAGTAAGTCCAACGGGTTGTGCTGCTGAAACTTGGACAAGATGCCCAAGTTCTCATTGTGATGCAGGATAGTTTCAGATTCCAGAGATTCAGGGAGTTTGTCCCTGTGGAGAAGCGATCTCAATGGGATTTGCACAAATAATCAGTGGAAGGAAATGGCCTTTAAAGTGTGGTCTCCTTTCCCTGCAGATAAGCAAAAGGCATTCTATCACCAAACCACTAGCTCTCGGAATACAAGAGACAAAAATCTCTTCTAGCAGTGTCTATCTTTTGGAATAAAGGTTGCTCAGAGATGCAGTAACAGCCAGAAGATCATTCAATGTCCTCCCTTACTTCCTTTCCTTGTAAAGAATCACTTTATGGAGGATGTGAGATTAACTCGCTCTAGATCTAGCAGTGACCCAGATTTCCAACAAGGCTGAGGGGACCCAGGGAACCAAATCCAGGGCCAGAAATAAAATCTACTGTCGCAGGCTGCATAGCTTCCCCTCTGTGGGAAGCTTTCTATGGACTTAGACCTGAAAGCCTTAAAAGGCCATGCAATTTGTAATCTTGGTGGGAAGGCCTTTCTAACACAAAATACATAAGCCACAAAAGCTAAGTTTGACTAAAGAAAAATAATGAACTTCAATATGACCAAAAAACAGAACTAAATTAAAAAGTCAAATGACAAATAGGAAAAAAAAATTACTTTTTTTTTTTTTTTTGGACAGGCAAAGTGGACAGTTGAGAGAGAGAGACAGAGAGAAAGGTCTTCCTTTTCCGTTGATTCACCCTCCAATGGCCACTGCGGCCGGCGCACCGCGCTGATCCGAAGCCAGGAGCCAGGTGCTTCTCCTGGTCTCCCACGCGGGTGCAGGGCCCAAGGACTTGGGCCATCCTCTACTGCACTCCCGGGCCACAGCAGAGAGCTGGACAGGAAGATGAGCAACCGGGACAGAATCCAGCGCCCCAACCGGGACTAGAACCTGGTGTGCTGGCGCGGCAGGTGGAGGATTAGCCTATTGAGCCACAGCACTGGCTAAAAAATTACTCTTACAAACCATTAAGTCCTATAAAGGTCAACCATATATTAGAAAAATGATCAAACCATAGTTAATATCAAAATACAAATGTCTTGAAAATGTAAAAATGTTTTATCTTAAGTATAATAAGATAAATGAAAACACACTGCCATTTTTAACCTAACACATTGTCAAAAATATTGAAATTTAAAAGAACCACAGGGGACAACATGGAGAAGTACACTGTTGGAAGGGTGTGAACTGGTTACAATCCACAGGCAGGGTAGTCTGGCAGTGCTTGCATAGAATACTATTGCAGAAATCCAACTCACAGATGGATCTGCATACCTGCAAAGCGCCAAACATGCACGGTTCATCACTAGAGCACTGGAGTACCAAGGGATGAGCAACTGAAGTCTGTTAATATACAAAGCTGGTTAAATTATGAACGAATTATTATTGTAATCCTTGATCTGGAGAAACAAAGCACAGATAAACTCTCTTGTGGCTGGATATGGAATGATCTCTACTAAGTTAAAGAAACAAAAATGCAAGGTGTATAAAAGCAGTATGTAAAACATGAAGCTATGTGTGTAGAAAAGAGATGGGGGAAATAAACCACTGTGATTACACACATATATGTATTTTAGAAGAACCTTTGGAAATATCACAGTGAAACTTGGGTTAAATACCCTGCTCTGGCTCCGAGCTTCTGGCTAATGCAGGCCCTGGTATGCAGCAGTGATGGCCCAAGTAATTGGATTCTTGCCACGCACATGGAGAGCTGGACTGAGTTCCCAAGCTGAGTTCTCCAGCTTTGTCCCTAACTGTTCAGGGCATTCAGGAAATAAATCAGCAGATGGGAGTGTTCTTTCTCTCTGTCCTTCTGCTTCTCAAATAAGTGAATTATAAAAGAAATTTTAAAAGCTTTTTGAGAGATAATTATAGATTCACAGAACATACATAGAAATGTCATCTTGCATAACTACCGTATGCCATCAAAACCAGGGAAATGACACAGTACAGTCCACAGAGCTTATTCAGAGGCCTCCAGTCTTACATGTACTCATTTGTGTGTGTACAGTTCTATGTAATTTTAACACATAAGTTGTTTTGTATAATCACTAACAACTATCAAGATACACAACTGTTTCATTGCCACAGGGCTCCCCTTCATATTATTACATTATAGCCACACCCAACTCACCCCCTTTTCCAGGGAAGCTTTAATGTAGTAAAGTCTTAATGTGGTCTCCACCTTTATAGCAACATCCAATTACACACACACACACACACACACACACACACACACACATATTAGCAGAGTTAGAGAGAGGAGAGACAGAAAGACAGACATCTTCTATCCACTGGTTCACTCCCCAAATGGCCCCAATGACCAGGGTTTGGCCAGTAAAAACCAGGATCTTGGAACTCCATCTGCATTTCCCACAGGTTGGCAGGGGCCCAAGCACTTAGGCCATCTTCAGCTGCCTTCCCAGGTGCATTAGCAGGGAGCTGGATTGGAAGTGGAGTTAGCTGGGACTTGAACTGGTGGCCAAATGGGATGCCAATGTTATAGGTGGAGACATAACCCTCTGTGCCACAATACCAGCCCCTTTTACTTTGTTGCTGTTTGTTTTTTTTTTTTTTAAGATTTATTTATTTATTTGAAAGGCAGAGCTACAGAGAGGTAGAGGAAGAGAGTCTTCCATCTGCTAGTTTACTCCCCAGATGGCCACAACAGCCGGAGCTGCATCAATCCAAAGCCAGGAGCAAGGAGCTTCTTCCGGGTCTCCCACGCAGGTGCAGGAACCCAGGCCATAGCAGAGAGCTGGATCCAGAAATGGAGCAGCCGGGACTTGAACCGCCGCCAATACGGGGATGCCAACACTGCAAATGGCAGCACTCCCACTAAGCCACAGCACTGGCCCCAGCCCCTTTTCTTAGGGGAAGAGTATTCAGTTTTTCACCATGAGGCATGATGTTAGCTGCATGTTTTCTGTAGATGTCCTTTGTCAAGCTGGGAAAGATTTTCAGTTAGATGAGAGCTTTCTCATGAATGCTGGGTATTACTGAATGCTTTTTTGATTATAGATCCAGCCTAGAATAAATTCTATTTGTATATTATATATAATCCTTTCTATATATTGCTGGATGTGATTTGCTAATATTGTTAGGAATTCTTGCATCTAAGTTCATAAGAGATACTGTCTGAAATTTTCTTTTTGTACTGTCCTTGTCCAATTTTGGTATAGGGATAATACTGAACTTATAAAATGAGTTATTAAATGTTAACTCTCCTTTTGTTTTCTAGAAGAGAGTATATAAAATTGGTGCTAATTATTCTTTAAATGTATGGTAACTTTTTCCTGTGAAACCATCTGGGCAGGTAACTGTTTTCAAGAGCTCTATAACTATAAATTCAACTTCCTTAATGGTTACCCAGGTTATCTATTTCATTTGGGCTGAGTTTCGGTAATTTGTTTTTCAAGGAAGTGGTCTAATTCATCTAGGTTGTTAGTTTGTAAAAATAAAGTTCTTTCTAGTAGTCCCTCCCTCATTATCCTTGCAATAGCAATGCAATATCATATTATTAGTGATTTGTACCTTCTATCTTTTTGTCAATTTATCAATTTTATTGATAATTTCAAAGAACCATATTTTGGTTTAATTGCTTTTCTTTGCTATTTTCTGGTTTACAATTTCACAAATTTCTGCTTGCTTTGATTTTATTCTTAGTCTAGGTTTTTTAAAGGAATTTGGAGGGAGTTTTTTTTAATTTAAAAGATTTATTTATTTATTTGAAAGGCAGAGTTACAGAGAGGCAAAGTCAGGGAGAGAGAGGTCTTCCATCTGCTGGTTCACTCCTCAAATGGCCCCAACAGCTGGAGCTCTGCCAATCCGAAGCCGTGAGCTAGGAGCTTCCTCAGGGTCTCCTGTGTGGGTTCAGGGGCCCAAGGATTTAGGCCATCTTTCACTGCTTTCAAAGGCCATAGCAGAGAGCTGGATTGCAAATAGAGCAGCTAGGACTCGAACTGGCACCCATATGAGATGCCGGCAGAGCAGGCAGCTGCTTTACCAGCTATGACACAGTGCCAGCTCCTGTCTAGGTTCTTGATGTCACAACTTAGATGACTGATTTCAGACCTTTACTCTTTTCTAATGTAAAGCATAATTTTCCAATCTCGGTACTGCCGTAGTTACATTCCATAAATTTTAACAAGTTTCATTTTCATCCAGTTCACTGTATTTTTATTTATTTATTTTATTTTCATTTTTTAAAGATTTATTTATTTTTTGAAAGAGTCACACAGAGAGAGGAGAAGCAAAGAGAGGAAAGAGAGAGGTCTTCCATCCAATGGTTCACTCCTCAGTTGGCCGCAATGGCTGGAGCTGCTCCGATCCGAAGCCAGGAGCCAGGAGCCAGGAGCCAAGAGACGCTTCTGGGTCTCCCACATGGGCACAGGGGCTCAAGGATTTGGGCCATCTTCCAGTGCATTCCCAGGCCACAGCAGAGAGCTGGATCAGAAGTGGAGGAGCCAGGTCTCAAACAGTGTCCATATAGGATGCTGGCGCCTCAGGCCAGGGCGTTAACCCGCTGAGCCACGATGCCGGCCCCTCACTGTATTTTTAAAATTTCCTTTTGGAATTCCTCTTTGATCCATGGATTATTTAGAAATATATTGTTTAATTTCCAAGTGTTTGAAGATTTTCTTGTAGTCTTTCTGCCATCAATTTTGAATTTGATTCCAGTATGGCCAGAGAATATATTTTACATAATATCAATTTTTAAAAATTTATTCATATTGGCCGGCGCCGTGGCTCAATAGGCTAATCCTCCACCTTGCGGCGCCGGCACACCGGGTTCTAGTCCCGGTCGGGGCACCGGATTCTG